TGTGTGTGTGTGTGTGTGTGTGTGTGTGTGTGTGTGTGTGTGTGTGTTTTCCATTTATAACATGGAAAAGTACATAAAAGATGGGGAGAAAGAGAAAAATGCATAATGTGCTGGGGTCAAATCAAGGGCTAGCAATGAGGAGAAGCTACCTCTGTCATTTCAGAAAGAAGAGATGACAGGAAGAGAGCCAATGGGAACAAGGCCACCTTAAAAAAAATTAACTGAAGGAATGTAGTAATACATTTATAGCAAGAGAAAAAGTTTTGTAACTTTGGGGGAACCCCAATTTTAGAGGCAGATGGAAGAAAATAACCTAATTCTTGTCATTTTAAATGTGAATGGATTAAACAGTTCAATAAAATGAAAGTGACAGATTGAATAAGAAAACAAAATCTTACAATCAGTTGCTTAAAAGAAGCACATTTCAAAAACAGACATACACAAAATAAAACTCGGGGGGGGTGGGGGTAAGATGGAAAAATTTTTTTTACTGTGAATCAAGTGACTCCAAAAAAGCAGGAGTTGGCATCATGCTATTTGACAAAAAAAAAAAAAAACAAACCCAAAAAAACATACATTCAAAAAATTAAAAACGATAAACAGAGAAACTGTATTCTGCTGAAAGGAACCATACACAGCAAATAGATATCAGTAGTAAACTTATGTGCTTCAAATGCCTTAGTATCCAAATTCATAAAGGAAACATCTGAACTACAACAAGAAATAGACACAATAGTGACAGGAGACTTTAATATCCTTCTCTCAGTTTTATCAGAAAGATCAACAAAAGGGAAAATATAGAACTGAACAAATTCCTGGAGAAACTATAGTTAAAAGACTTAAGGCATCTTGTAAATGGGACAGCAAAAGAATATACATATTTTGTGGTGCCACATGGAACTTTTACAAAAATTAACCATATTGGGGCAGCTAGGTGGGGCATCCGGCCTTGGAGTCTGGAGGACCTGAGTTAAAATTTGACTTCAGACACTTAACTTTTACTAGCTGTGGGATCCTGGGCAAGACACTTAACCCTGATTGCCTCACCAAAAAGCAAAACAAAAAAATACAACAAAAATTAGCCATTTATTAGGGCACAAATATTGCAAACAAATGTAAAAAAGGCAGTAAATAGTTAATATAGCCTTTATAGATTATAATGCAATAAAAATAGTAATTGGTTCAGAGAACACAAACAAAAGATATAGACTCAAATGGAAACTTAATAATTAAATCCTGAGTGGGTCAAAGAACAAATCACTGAAACAGTAATTGTTGAAAAGAAAATTATAATAATGAAATAACATGCCAGAATTCTGGGTTGCAGCTGAAGCAGTCCCAGGGGGAAAACACATCCTTATAAATATACATTAACAAAATAGTAAAAGTGAGGATAAATGAATTGAATATGGATTTTAAAAAAATCAGGAAGCCAACAAATAGATCTAAAATAAGCACAACATAGGAAATATTAAAAATTAAAAGATATAGATTGGAAACAAAAAACTCCATAGAAATGATAAAACTAAAAGCTGTTCCTTTGAAAAGACTAATGAAATTGATAAACTCTTAATCTCATTCAAAAGAAGAGAGCAATCACATCAGTAAAATAGCAAATGAGCAACGTGAGATCATAACAAAACCAGAAACAATAAAAAGACAAATCAGAACATATTGTGCAGTTTTGTGCTAACAAAACTGAGAACATGAAGAAAATAGAGGAATACCATTAAAAATATGAAATGCCTAAACTATCAGAAGGCTAGATAGAGATCTTAAATAACTCAATCTCAGAAAAGGAGATAGGTATCTAGCTATAAAGAAACTACCAAAGGAAAGAACTCCTAATCCTGATGGAATCAAAGGAGAAATCTAAAGAACAGTTAGTACCCATACTTCACAAGTGATTTTCCAAAATTGAGAAAGTAAGAGCAATTCTCTACCACAAATCTTTTAAGATTTTGTTTTCTTATTCAATCTGTCACTTTCATTTTATTGAACTGTTTAATCCATTCACATTTAAAATGACAAGAATTAGGTTATTTTCTTCCATCTGTCTCTAAAATTGGGGTTCCCCCAAAGTTACGAAACTTTCTCTCCTGCTATAAATGTATTACTACATTCCTTCAGTTAATTTTTTTTAAGGTGGCCTTGTTCCCATTGGCTCTCTTCCTGTCATCTCTTCTTTCTGAAATGACAGAGGTAGCTTCTCCTCATTGCTAGCCCTTGATTTGACCCCAGCACATTACGCATATAGTCCTAATACCTGAACTTGGGAAAGATAAAACACAGCAAAAACTATAGGCCAATACCATTAATGAACATTGACTCAGATTTTAAACAAAATCTTGTCAGGTAGATTACAGTTATTTATCCAAAAAATCATTCATTATGAACAAATAGTATTTGTACTAGACTACAAAGATGGTTCAACATTAGGAAAACAGTCAACGTAATTCATCATATTAAAAATTAAAGCATTGAAAACTAAATTATTATCTTAGTAGATGCAGTTGAAGCTTCTTTTTTTTTTTTTTTAAAGGCAGTTGGGGTTAAGTGACTTGCCCAGGGTCACACAGCTAGTAAGTGTCAAGTGTTTGATCTGAGGCCAGATTTGAACTCAGGTCCTCCTGACTTCAGGACTGGTGCTCTATCCACTTCACCACCTAGCTGCCCCTCATAGGCTCTGTTTTTTAAAAGCTGATAATAAATATTGAGGCCAAGGCCTCGGGGAAGAAGGTGGGAGGAAGGACAGACTTAGGAAGCAACAGTTGGGAAAATTATCGTGGAACGACTCCTAGGTTGCTGCCTAACTCCAGTGAAGAGAGACTCTGTCCACAATTTATAGTGCTAGCTTTTGTCACTACATTTTATTTAAATGGCAGACTTAAAAAAAAAATTTAAAAAGCTACCGGACCTCATGGGCCATCTTGACCATCTCACTGTGTGAGGAAAGCCAGCTGTGCAGAGGTCCTTGTAGTGCAGCTTCTGAAACTTGGTGTCGGTGTTGCCTGCACAGAGCTCCACATGGCCCAGGACCTCGTGGAACATGGCGTTGTGGACGGACTGTGTAAAGTGCATGTGCAGCTGGCCATCAAGGACTGTGTCTTCCCCAGGAGCCTGTTCACCTGCTGCACCTTGATGTAGTGGTGACTTCAAAATTCTTGAAGATCTTGGAGAGTGCCACAACCACATAACTCCTCAGTTTGCATGAGGGTGGCCTGCACCTTGGAGTCTAGCTCATTGATGCAGCTGTAGTGTTGGAAAGTGCTCTCTGCCTGCTAAGACTTGAGGCAAAGCTGGGTAGCTACAGGATAATCTTCCTCGAGCATGCATTTTTTGCAGCATTTATGTGTTCCACAAGGATTTCAGCAGGCCAACCAGCAGCTGGCAGTTCTTCTGGTTGGCAAGAAGTGCCAGACTGGCCTGAGTAAAACCCTACAAGGTATTCAGGTGCCTTCATCTGTTGGTACAAATGACAGTTGCCAATTGAAGGCCTGTCTTCAGTGAGATCACTCTCTCAAGTTCCTTATCACAAGTGACTGCTTAAGGATCAAATCTGTGACTTTCTTAGAGACTACATCCTGGTGCTATTTCAGCTTATCTGTGTATGCCTCTGATTCTTGCAAATTGAGAACAGGAGAGAGCTTCTCCTTCTCATACTTCCTGATATTCAATGAGTCAGTAGAAAAATACACATCTTCAGTGCTATTGATGATTTCTTGTTGGGCATGGGGGTCAGTGGGCTGTTCCCAAACTCTTGCAATTCGTCTAGAGTTTCTCAGTGGGACTTGGGTCACTGAGGCAGTCCTGGGGGCTTTTAAGACCTGGCAGGCCATGAGCAACTTTATCTTCTGTATGGGGAGGAGGAGGCTTTGCACCCTTGGCGGGGTGTAAAGGAAGCACCTCACTGGTACTCGAGTCAGGCCCCATACCTGCCTTGGCCCCTGCACCAGCATGTTAGCTACTTTTAAAAAATAAGTTAACGAGTTTGGCTCTAGATGTCAGTGAAGCACAGTTAATTAATTGGCCACAGAACATGTGAACCAAGTTTTGAGGAATTCTTCATTTAATAGGTCTGATATAACAAACTTATTTCCTAAAAAGGAGATAAAGTATTACTAAAAATAAACTGTAGGGTTATCTAAATTATTGGTTTATGAAATGCATCCTCTACATTGACATTTGGTTCTCTTCATTTATGAAACGTTCCCACTTTACATATATAATTAGGGGAAGCAAGAATAGAAAGTTCAAGTTTTGTAGTTGCTTTTTGTATTATTCTAAGCCTTCCAGATTATTTTTCACTTTCTTATTCCTTTGGATCACTAAATATTATAACATTTATTTCTCTTCTGCTAGGTTGGAAAATCTCCAAAGGATAGATTATGCAGAAGGGTAAGTGAATATTTTCCTCTATACTAAATACATTGAGGTGAAGGTAGTTTCTAAACTTTGCATTTTATATTGAAGCTACTTAATTGTGCTAGATGAACTAAACTGCTTTTGATTTTCACGGTATGTCAGATGATAAAGAGATTGAAAATGAGTAGTATATTAAAGCTGGTAATGAATTTTCATCTTGTTAAATTTATATTTCAAAGTGGTCAGACAGCATTCAGAATAGGTTTTCATAAAGCCCTTTTTGAAAAAAAACAAAAACAAAAAACTTTGGACCATGAATGAGAATTACAAAATAACGTTATAGTGTATATCTTTTAATTCCTTTTCACTGAAAAATTGTAAGTGTCTTCCTGTAAGCACTTTATTGAGTTAGGTTAATAAATGCTTATAGTTATAATTTCATACACTCATTCTTCAATCGTTGATCACTCCTTAAATGATAATTTTGTCCAGATAATTCTGGCCCTATGTTTAGGACCAGTTGCTTATAATTTTAAATTTTACTTTGAAATATTTGGATCTTCTTCACTTGTAGCTGAATTGTATTAGAATATGTAGGCTTATTTTGGTATTCATTGTAGAAAAATCCATAATTGTATATAGAATCATTCCTAATTTTGCTCATTAGAGCTAATTCTGTAGGGCTGTTAGACAATGTAAAATTTTGGAGTTGGAAAGGACTAATATCCATCTATTTAGTTGAAACCAAGACTCCAAAAAGAGTTCTGAATCCCCATTACAACAAGAGTCTTGGCTTGAAGACCTTTGCTGAAGGTGAACCCACTAATTCCTAAGGCAGCCAGTTCTACTTTTGTATAGCTCCAATTGGTAGGGAATTTTTTTCTCACATTCAAACAAAATCTAGTTTACTTGCTGTTTGTATGCTTCATTATATATAGCTCCTCCCTGGGAGCTCACTGTGTGACCTAACGAAATCATAGTTCTAATAAAATAATTATTGTACATAGTGTACAGTGTGGAATATTAAAATGTTTTCACATTTATATATATATATATATATTTAATATACATGTATATATAACTGTTCATACATTTCACATTTATATACTTTTAATAATATACACATATAACACACATTACAATTCATTAATATATAATGAATTTCCATTGAAGCAACTTTATCTTCTTAGAAATGGTCCTGGGGCACTAAGAGTTCAAGTGACTTGCCTAGGATCACACAATTGGTATGTGTCACAGGGGACTTTGTTGGTAAACTTTGTATGTAATATGTAACACACACATATACATAGATAATTTAATACACACACATGTCATTAGTACTGCAAACTGAGTATAAGCTTCTTAGCCCAACTCTAGAAGTATTTTAATTTAATCCCAATAAGAGGGATTGAATCTTATTAATGCCATCTAACCTCACAATTCCAGCTCATTTATTCAATATAAAAAATCAACTTAAAGATTTTTTTTAATAATGACAGAAGTTTTGTAGAATTAAATTTGTATGTTCTTTTAAAAATTAGGATGTGGGTATGAGTGACACAGCATTGACATCATTTCTTGACTCTTGCTTGGATCTTCTTCAGACTTTAATGGAGGTAAAATATACATATCATTTAATATACAATAATTATGTTAGAATATTGGAGATTATGATCATCATCAGTTTTAAGTATCAATCAGTTTAAGTATAAGTATAGGAGAAAAATGTATTTCATGTGGAGACTGATTATTACTATAATACTGGAAGAGTCTTATGTTTTTATTTGATATGGAAAAAAAAAATTCTCCTTATACTTTCCTCTTTTAAGGACAATGCAGTATGAGAATTAAATTTGAGGAGTCTGTTTTTCAGCAAATTACTGACATAATCCTTTGTATTTCCAAAATCGTCCTAGGCTGATGTTAGCAGTGATGAAATGCAAGTGCCTGTCTTAGATACTGAAGATGCCTGGGTGTCTGTTGAAGGACCGATATCAATAGTGGAGCTGGCTCTTGAACAGAAACATATCCACTATCCACTTGTTGAACACCATTCTGTGCTGTGCTCTGTCTTATATGGAATCATGAGATTTTCACTGAAGTCTGTGAAACCTCTTTCCCTCTTTGACAGTAAGGTAAGTACTGTAATTTCAAAAGATTTCAGAGCTATGTGCTTTAAAACAGAAGTGAATTGAAGCACATAGGTCCCAAGTTAATGATGGTGAAGCACTAAGAAATCATTCTTTGAGGATGAGTGAAGATGAATACTCCCTTCTGAGGAGTCTGAACAGTTCTTCATATTCAAATGAGTTCATTGTTGCAGTCACTTTAATTGATTCAGTTTCAGAAATGTGACTGAATTATATTTCAAAAAGCCATTTTTCTTCTCATAGATTATGATTTCACTAATTTTGAAGATAAAAATAATAGAAGAAAAATGTTTTAGTGGAAAGGAAACTGCATCAGGTTAACAAAACTTTACATTTTTGACTAAATTTCAAGACAAACTTGTAATTTTATGTAAAATAAAAATAATTAGATTTTAAAAAACACAAATAATCACTTTTAGTAAATAATTTAATTGTTGTCATTAATTAATTATATTCATGTAGATTGACTTCATATTGAGGCATCAGGTAGTGGAGTGAATAGAGCATTGGGTCTGGAATTAGAAAGATTTGAATTCAGTTCCTGCCTCATGCTTTCTAGCTTTGTGACCCTGAGCAGGTCACTTAACCTCTATTAGCCTGAGTTTCTTCACCCACCCACCCCACCCCTGGCCTCCCTTCCCCCCTCATTAAATATTTTCTAATTACATGTAAAAGAATTTTTGACAGTCATTTTTTTTTTAATTTGGGTTCCAAATTCTCTCCTTCCCTTTCACCTTTCTCCCCCACCCCCTCCATGCTTTTAGAAGGCAAGCACTTTGATTTAAATTAAACATGTGAAGTCATGCTGAACATTTCCATAATATCCATGTTTCAAAAGAAAATGTAAACAAAATAAAACAGTAGAAATAAAGGAAGTTTTTGTTTTTTGTTTTTTTTTTTGCTTTTTGGTGAGGCAGTCAGGGTTAAGTGACTTGCCCAGGGTCACACATAGTGTCATGTGTCTGAGACTGGATTTGAACTCAGGTCCTTCTGACTGCAAGGCCAGAGCTCTGTCCACTGTGCTACCTAGCTGCCCCAAGAAAGTTTTAAAAAGTATGGGTCAGCCTGCATTGGGAGTTCATCAATTCTCTTTTGCTGGGTGGATAGCATTTTTTTCATGGGTCCTTTGGGATTGTCTTGGATCATTGTCTTGTTCAGAGTAGCTAAGTCTTTCACAGTTGAGCATCTTTACAATATTATTGTTACAAGACTGGAACTCAAGGAGTGAAGGGTCAGCCTGAATCAACAGACAAGCCCTGGGGGAACCTGGGTTAGGAGATAGCCTCAGCCTCTAGAACTGACAGTATGGGGGAAGGAGGAGGAAGGTAGCGGGTCCTGACAGTTGAGTAGGAGAAGATTGCAAGGACTTCAACTATTGAGGGATACTAAGCACAGCTGTGCTGACTAGACGCCATCCTGGAGCTGCAGCTGCAGCTGCAGGGGAGAAGAAGCTAGCACATGCCTAGTGAGTGTGGTAGCAGAGGAGTGGGGACCCTGTTGGCTGTGGGCCCTTGCAGGAGAGCAGCATCATTCCTCGTTTCAGTTCTAGGGCAGTTTGAAGGACTGTTGAAGTTCACAGCCACCAGAGGGACTACAGAGAGCAAGAGTATTTACGGGACAGTGTGACTGGGGGAATCTGGCCATGGCCTGGGGTGGAGAGGAGTGCCCAAGCTTGGGCCCAGGACAGAGCTCAAAAAATAACAGTAAGAAGGACGTGAGGCCTGGGGCATCATTCCCCACAGCTCAGGACTAAAACTTGATTATAGTAATAGCTGCTAAAAATAAAACAAAACAAAATAAAAATGAGTAAGCAAAGGAGGAAAAAACCCAACTATAGATAGCTACTCTGAGGGTAGAAAAGATCTAGATTTGTATTCAGACGAAGATAGTGGAACCAAGAAAGTTACCGCTTTTTCAATAAGAAATATTAAATGGCCACAAGCCCAAAAAGAGTTTTTGGAAGAACTTAAAAAGGACTTAAAAATCAAATGAAAGAAATCAAGAAAAAATTAGGAAAAAAAATAAGAGTAATCCAAGAACATTATGAAAAGAAAGTCAGCCAACTAGAAATGGAGAACCAAAACCTTAAGGAAGAAGATAATTCCTTTTAAACTATTGGGCAAGGGGGGAAACTGATGACATTCTAAGTAACCAAGAAATAATAAAACAAAACCAAAAGAATGAAAAAATGGAAGAGAATGTGAAATATCTCATCAGAAAAACAACCGATCTGGAGAACAGATCAAGGAGAGACAATATAAGAACTGTAGGACTACCAGAAATCTTGATGCAATATTACAAGAAATTATTAAGGAAAATTTCCCTGAAGTTCTAGAACAAGAAGGTAAAGTAGGAACAGAAAAAATCTGCCAATCACCACCCAAAAGATCACAGGAGGAAATTACAGGAATATCGTAGGCAAATTTCAAAGCTCCCAGGTGATAATAACAACAACAAAAAATTTAAATGTCACAGAGCTACAGTCAGCTTCACTCAAGACCTAGCAACTTCTATGTTGAAGGGCCAGAGCACTTGGAATGCTGTATTTCATAGGGCAAGAGAGCTGGGGTTACAACCAAGGGTAACTTCCCCAGCAAAGTATAATTCTGAATGAAAAAAAAAAAAGGCTATTTAACGAATTGAAAGACTTTCAGGAATTTGTGACAAAAAGTGCAGAGCTTAATGGCAAATTTAACATGTAAGATCCAGGAGAAGTCTAAAGTAAACATTAAAGACCAATTATGAGAAACTCAATGAAGTCCAACTCTTTACTTCTTACATGTGAAAGTGTTATCAGTACTCTTATTACTATCCATCATTATTTGAGTAGTTTGAAAGAAAGGTATGGGTTGAGCTGTGTATGATAGGGTGATTGTAAAGAATAAAACTGTAGGGAGAGATAAAAAGGAGTAATCTCATACAAATGAGGTATGAAAGAAAGAATTGATACATTAGTAAGTGGTGGGGGGCTGCTAGTGCTGGAACCTTACTCTTATGTACATTACTTATATACTCTTAGACATTATCTTATACATTTAGAAGGGTATAAAAATCTTCTATATTTAGAAAGAAAGAAGAGGACGAGATATAGTTAGCAGAGATGGAAAGGTGAAGTGACAGTGATTCTTTTTTGTAACACAAGTGTAGTCCTTTAGATATGTTAAATTTCATCATCTTAAATTTGGTCCAGCATTTTGCCTGGACATTGACTTATTATAAGAACTATAGTTTGTTTAGGTCAAGTCATTCAACCAGTTCAGAATCTACTTAGCAATAGTACTATCTAGAGGCTAGACTATAGTTTTTTAAATTGTCCACAAGAATATGTGAAAGACTGTCAAATGCTTTGATGAAATTTAAGTATACTATATCTAAAGCATTATTATATCTATAGCATTTAAGTATACTGCCCCTTGTCATTAGATCTTATATATTTTTTTTCTTTTTTGCTTTTTTAAAGCAGGGCCTTGAAAGTAATTAATGTTAATCTCTTTATCAAACCAGAATAAGAACAAGATATAGGAAGAATACATGTATAATGCAGAATATGTGTACTGTACCACAGGAACACTTCATAAACTACATGTCTCAGTGCTAGATCAGTTTAATAATTTTCGTTTCAAGTCCTATAGTTACAGTTTCTAGCATGGTTTCATTATTGTTAGATTGGTGATAAATAGAATAAATTTATTCCAGAAATATTTTTAGATGGTTAACTTCTTTTATATCAGGTTTTTTAATTTATCAAGTGATAATTGGAATCAGTGATTTAAACAGAGCCAAATGATTATTTCAAGAAAAGTTTCCTTCATCTTCATAGCTACTACAGACATTCCTCCTAACATTATATTACTATCATTAGACCAAAATGCATTTAAGTTCATTTTCAAGTATTCATTATTAAAGATACAATCAATTGAAATGGATTAGTTTTGGAAGTGGTATCGAAAATGGTCTCTTCTGGGGCAGCTAGGTGGCACAGTGGATAAAGCTCCAGCCTTGGAGTCAGGAGGACCTGAGTTCAGATCTGATCTCAGACACTTGACACTTACTATCTGTGTGACCCTGGGCAAGTCACTTAACCCCAATTGCCAAAAAAAAAAAAAGGAAGAAAAAAGAAAAAGAAAATGGTCTCTTCTGTAGTAGATGCCAGTTCTTTTAAAAGAATAAATAATGTTTTCCAGTGCAAGAGCTAACTGAACTGTACACTGAACATAAATTTACTGGGGTGTTTTTCTTTTGAAATTGTAGTTGCTCATTAATTATGATATGGATTTTGGTATCCTCTTCTATAATATTAAGTGTTGTCACCTTGGTTTCTTTTGTAATATATTTTACTCTTCTACTATTTCATGTATGTAAACAGTTACCTATATCTACTCCATTTTTCTCTTGTAATTATACTACCTCCTCAATATCAGATAAAGGCCTATGATGTCTTATTACAAATAGTATTGAAAACTATTATGTTAGCATCAATATTTTTATTATTTAGAAATGAGAAATTGCGCTGTTAGAAAATGATTCATTAGCAAATTCTTTAATCTTGAATTTTGGTATGGGCTTTATAAATAGCTTGTGCCTTAATTCTTTTTTCCACAGATAAGCTTGTCTCATAGTTTATTGTTGTTTTTACTGCCATATGGGGTTAGTAAATATACACTTCATTCCTTGGACACACAGATTTACTTTTCTACTGTCACTTCTAAATGCTGAACTGTAGAATAATCTTTACATCCCAATTTATCTTCTTTTATTTCAAGCCATTTCGTACTGTTCTGCAATCATAAATGCTTGTTTTTCATTCCAACTAAATTTTTAATTTGTTGAATGATCAGTTATTGAAGAAAAACCATCATGTTTGACAAAGGAAGAAATAATCTTCTACATGAGCAGTAGTAACAAAATCTATAAATAGCTCCAGATTAACTGTAAATAACTCCAGAATATGGAGTGACTCTGGGAAAAAGAGTGTGATATGGGGTAGGGATAGAAAAATTCTGGATCAAAAATGAAAAAGAAAATAATACTTTTTCATAACCAAAAAATTGCTGTATGTAACAAGTATTTTTGATACATAATAGAAATATCACTACCATGAAAATTTTCTTAAGTAATTCTATTCATATTATATATGATATCAAGTGTAACACAGGCTATTGTTTGGGAAATGCTTGTCTAAATTAATATTTTCTTCTAGCAGTTCCATTTTCTGTGGTTCATTCATCAGCATCTTTCATATAACCTCTGGCAACCTCTTCTCCAAGTTGAATAAAATCTATTCCTTTAATTTTATTTTTCAGTATTTTGTTATTATGACTTTCCTATGAAACTTAGATAAAATCTTTCTAAATTTCATGTCAGTATCCAGACATTTAAATACTTATAATATTAACTACTTGCCACATTCTTATGATATAAATTAAACTAAATTTCTCCTGATATTAAGATGAAGAGAAGGTTAAATAAAAAGTCTTTGAACTCTACAGAAATAGGGAAAACTCCAATAACACCCCAAAAAAAGTGATCACATGATTTTGTTTTATTTTTTCAGGGCAAAAATGCATTTTTTAAAGACCTAACTTCAATTCAGTTACTACCAAGTGGTGAGATGGACCCAAATTTCATATCTCTCCGACAACAGGTAGGATTTAGTAGTTCTTTTTTCTTTTGTGACATACTGTTTTTGTCCATGGACCAGCTTATTTAGCAAGCACATCACCCGATTGGCCCGAAGGTGAAAAACTCTTTGGCTATGGCAGCATATGCATCAAATAAAAATAAAAACAAAAACAATCACCCGTCCTTGTGTAGCCCTTCTGTTTCTGCAGTGACAGACTACTGATGGGGACATACCAGGTCAAGAAGTATATAATTTTTTCATAATTTACAGATGTTTAGCTGTTAGTTAAGTGTGTACTCTTTCATGACCAGTGAATTGAAATAATCTTTCAGTTATCTCAGTTCAGATGATTTCCATTTCTATCCTATTTATCTAGCCTTAGTCTCTCTCCTGACCTTCTGACTTGAATCTCCAATTGCCTTCTGGATGTCACATAGACTTCTTAAGCTCAACATGTCCAAAACTGAATTTGTTTCTCTCTCCTATTATTATTGAGAATACCGACTATCCCATGGAGGTGCATGACTGAAATTCAGGAATCAGATGAGGGCTGTTTAGATAGAGATGATAAGTGAGTCCATAGTGTTGATCAAGTCACCAAGACAGTATAAGGAGAAAAGATGAAAGGACCCAAGATAGAATCCTGTGGTATACTCATATATAGGCAGAAGGATGTGGATAATGATACTGCGAAGTAGACTGACAAGCATCGGCTATAATCCACCTGCAAAATCTCCAGTATTTCCTTTTAGAAATTATTATGGTACTTTGAATAGGAGGTAACATAAAAGTTCATTCCAAAAGGCCACAAGGACTCTAACTTTTAAGTAGTTATGGTAATATTAAATTCTAACCAACCAAGATGAAAAAGAAAGAGTTCCTACTTAGAGAAATACATTCAAAATGATCTGGTCACATCATATGCTGGGGGTTTTTTAAGAAAAAATAGTCTACATACATTTATTAAGTGCCTGTGAGCGGGCTCTGCTAAGTGCTAGTGATATAAAGAAAGGTAAAAGATAGTTCCTGCTCTCAAGCAGCTCACAGCTTAATAATATCTTTTATTAACAAGGACAGAGCAATGTCACAAAACTCAGAGAGGAGTATCTGGAAAGAGGCATGGTTAGCCATGTATAAACTGTAGGGAAGTCAAGAAGTATAAAGACTGAGAAAAGAATTTAGCAATAAAAATTTCATTGGTTATTTCTATTTTACCCTCTACTTCTACAATATCAAGGTGGTTTTCCTTGATAATTTCGTAAAAGATGATGTCTAAGCCCCCTTTTTTTTTTTTAAATCATAGCTTTTAGGTAGTTCGGTAATATTTAAGTTATCTCTCCTGGATCTATTTTCCAGGTCAGTTGTTTTTCAGTGAGATATTTCACATTTTCTTCTATTTTTTCACCCTTTGATTTTGTTTTATTGTTTCTTGATATCTCATGGAGTCATTGGCTTCCACTTGCCAAATTCTAATTTTTAAGGAATTACTTTCTTCAGTGCATTTTTGTACCTTTTTCCATTTGGCCAATTCTGCTTTTTGAGATATTATTTTCTTCACTATTTTTTTTGTGCCTCCTTTACCAAGTTGTTGGCTGTTTTTTTCATAATTTTTCTTGTATCACTCTCTTTTCCCAGTCTTTCCTCTACTTCTTTTATTTGTTGGGGTTTTTTTTTAAATCCTATTTGAGCTCTTCTAAGAATTTGGGGGAGGCAGGGCTGAGACCAATTCACATTTTTCTTTGAGGCTTTGGATGTAGCTGTTTGGACTTTGTTGTCTTCTGAAGATCTGATTTAATTTTCCCTGTCACCATAGTAACTTTCTATGGTCATGTTCTTTTGTTGTTGTTTGCTCATTTTTCAACCTATTCCACTTTATGTTCAAGTGGGGCTCTGCTCTTGGGATGGAGGGGGCATTATCCCAAGCTTCAGACTTTTCTTGCTGCTGCTCTCAGAGGTAGTTCTGGGGATATGTAAGTTTTTAGTTCTTCCAGGGTCATGCAGTCTAGGAGGAGGTGTGCTCACCGCTTTCCTGCCTTGTGCTATGGCCCATGAGTGACCGCAAGAATTTTTTTCTGCCCTGGAACTGTGACCAGGGTCCCCACTCCCCAGAATGCACGCTGCACACTTTAATGTGTTAGTGCTGCTCCTGTGTTAGTGCCCTGGCACTGTCACATAGAACTGCATGTGTGCAATGTACCAGAGTCCTGCACCCATTGCCAGCAAAATTGAATCTACCCTGGAAATTTCCTTCTGACCCATTGTCTGACCCGTACCGTGGTCAGAGAGCTCCTGAAACTGCCCATTCAGTTGCCCCCAAGGCCTGCTTCTGGCTTTCTGGGGCACAGCCTGTTGTTATACTGCACTCCGCTCTCACCCCAGTGAGACAAACCTTTCCTGCCAGCCTTCTAAGTTGTCTTAGACTAGAAAATTGTTTCACCCCCATTCTTTTGTAGGTTCTGCCACTCCAGAATTTGTTTTGAGACATTATTTAAAATTATTTGGAGGAGAATTTGAGAGAGCTCAGGTGAGGCTCTGCTTTTATTCTGCTCCTCTCTTTTCCAATTTTTTTCCTCTAGTTCTCTCATTTCATTCATAAACATTTTGAAATCATGCTTTATATAAACTCTTAGAAGAATTCTGGTTAAATTTGCCCAAGTTGTGTTTTCTTTAAGCTTTTGCTTGTAGATATTTCAGAGTCGTTCTCTTCTGGGTTTGTATGTTAAGCATCTTTGTCACTATATTAGCTTTTTATGGTGGGATAATTTTTTTTGTTTACTTATTTTCCCTGCCTACTTCCTCACTTTGGACTTGATGTTGAGGCCAGGTTCTGTGCCTGTCTGGACAGAAGGTCTGGATTGGTCTTGTTGCTTCTTTCTTGAGGTATTGAGTGTTGTATTCCTTCCCAAACAGTTTTTTGTTGTTTTTTTTTTTAACAAAAATCCCCAGGATAGGAGCAGCTAGGTGGCGCAGTGGATAGAGCACCAGCCCTGAAGTCAGGAGGACCTGAGTTCAAATCCGGCCTCAGACCAAACACTTGACACTTACTAGCTGTGTGACCTTGGGCAAGTCACTTAACCCCAATTGCCTCACTTAAAAAAAAAAATCCCCAGGACCTCAGGGACAGTTCAAACTGGGGACCTATAAGCTTTCAGTGCTTCCAAAAGTTGACTAATCCAAGGCAGTCTGATTGTTGCCTCCTTGGTCCAAGGTCTGCAAATTGCCATCTCCAATAGATTATTACTAGACTTAGTCCTGGAATAAGTCTGGGACCTCTCCTCTTCCTGAGCTGAAGTCCCTGTGGTGTTCCTGGCCACACCCTATCCCCAAAGTCTGTCTCTCTAACCCGTGGTAGTCAGCCTTTCTATTTTTTATCAGTACTAAATAGTTTTGATGATTATTTTTAGTATGGTTTGAGATCTGACACAGTCCCCTTCCTTTTACTTTTTTTCATTTCTCCTGAGACTCTTTACCTTTAGTTTTTTCAGATAAATGTTCTTTTTCTAACCCTATTAAGTTTTCCCTTTGTAGTTTGCTTTGACATTGAATAAGTAAATTAATTTAGGGAGTACAGGGGCAGTCAATGGTGCAATGTTTAGAGCATTGGACCTGAAAGGCCCAAGTCAGGAAGACTTGAGTTCACATCTGGTCTCCGACACTGTGTGACCCTCAGCAAATCACTTAGCCTCGGTTTCCCTCAGTTCCCTTAACTATAAAATGGGAATGATAATAGCATCTACCTTCTAGGGTTGTTATGAGGATCAAATGTGATATTTGTAAAAAGCACTTAGCATGGTACCTTGCCCCTAGTAGGTACTATATAAATACTTATTCCTTTCCCCTTACCTTTTCCCCTTAGGACTGTCATTGTTACTATATTGGTTTGGTTTACCTGTGAACAATTAACATTTCTCCAATTATTTAGGTCTGTCTTGATTATCCTAAAGTGTTTTGTAGTTATATTCATATAATTCTTATTTATATCTATCTTAGTAGAGTCCAAAGCACTTTACATTTTTGGTAGCTATTTTAAGTGGAATTTCACGTCTCTTCCTGCTGAGTTTTTTGGTAATATACAGAAATGGTGAGGATTTATGTGGATTAATTTTATATCCTTCAAATTTGCTGAAGTTATTGTTTCAATTACTTTTGTTAACTGAGTTCTCTAGTCTGATTGCTATAGCTAATATTTTTAGTGAGATGTTATTTTAATAAAACCCATATTAATAAGATTTCTTTCTTTCCGTTTTTCTCACTTTCATACTTGGTTCCCAAGTTTTTATTGAAAATCATCAGTGCGGCTGTTCAGGTACAATATTGTGTCCCTAAGGACAAAGAAACTTCTGATGAAGCACCAATTATTCCTCTTGGCAAGGATAGAGACTGGCCAGATCTGGCTGTATATTTAGCCCAGCACCTTCAAGTTAATGAAGATGTGATTAGAAGACATTATGTATTGGAACTATATAATTATGGAGCTGACCACCTTGGAGAAGAGGTAACTCTTACTCTTTGAATATACAAATAAGGCTTACATTAAGAAAATAAAGAGTAAAATTGGCCTTTCTAAGGTGGTGAATAAACTTTGTTAAATATCTCTTGTTTGTATGGTAAAGAAGTTATATTTAATTGGAAAAATAAAATTCAGCACCTGGCTTCATTTCATTGCTGATTCTTCCTGTATCAGAAGCATTAGAGCCCAGCCTCATTAGCTGGTATGTGAAATAGCAAGGTTTGGCTTGGTTAAAGACTAACCTCTGAGTTGTTTGACTTATAATAATATGTGGTCATAGCTCAGGAAGGTAACTGACCTCCTTCTTAAGTGGCCCGGCAGATATTGAAAGTGTTTCCTCTCTTCTCACTCTGCTCAGATGGAGGAGCTCAAGGTGTCTGACTGCGATTTTCTTGTTGTCCTTCCCGTTAGGCCATTCTGCAGGTGCAAGACCAAGAAGTGCTGGCATCTCAGCTCCTTGTGCTGACTGGGCAGAGGCTAGCCCATGCCTTACTCCATACTCAGGCCAAAGAGGGCATGGAGCTGCTCGCTCGACTGCCACCAACGCTCTGTACCTGGCTCAAAGCTATGGTGAGTGTAAAGAAGAGGAAACGCAACACAGGATCTTAGGAGACAAGAGCCTACCAAGTATTTTAATTTGAACCAGGTTGTCCACACTGTGTCAACTCATCTTTACGTGTTGGTAGCAGGTTGTTTTGCTGTTAAGGATAGTCATTCTGGTTCATGTTATAGTCTAATCCATGGTAGTGGGCTTTGGAATTATTCTCTAAAGTGTACAAAGAAATTATTCAGGGTTGAATAAGATACCTAATTCTTATCAAACAAGTATGGTTGGATTTTGGCTTTTTTTTTCCGCTCTCTGCATATTGAAGCATTATGATTTAGTGGAAAGAATCCTTCCCTTAAAGTCAGGAGAAATTATTATGATGTGACTACTGGCAAGTCACTTAACTTCCGTAATGTATTTGCATTCTATAACCTTGAAAATTCTGCATCGATGCCAGAAGTTATTATTTAATTCCATCATATTAGTAGAATTGATAAATTCCCCAAACCTACCTGTCACTTAAAAATGCTTGAAGTTAATTTAATACTTCTAATTTTATTTAGGGAAGAAAGGGGAAAAAGGCCTCTAAAAATACTGTATTTACTTTTTATTATAAAGTTAATAACAAATATTACTAAGAAGCCTGATGGAATATTTTTCATGTCAACTTTGCAGGACCCCCAGGACCTTCAAAACACTGAAGTGCCAATTGCAACAACAGCTAAACTAGTAAATAAAGTAATAGAGCTGTTACCAGAAAACCATGGGCAGTATAGTCTGGCCTTACACCTCATTGAAGCTGTGGAAGCCATCTCTGTTTCATCTTCATGACATATCAGCTGGATTAATGAATACTTTAAAACTGTCTTACTTCAACATGAATTAGTGCATGGTTATTTTACAAATAACAAACATCAGAGTTTTGAGGGGGGAATACTTCCATGTGGATTTTGTAAAATATGAGAAATAAACTTGAACATTTTAAAACATGGAGTCCTGGCTAAGTTCCACTTCTGTGGATAACAGGTTAAAATGTAGCCAGACATTAATTATACAGTAGTTTCATCGTTTATTTACAACTCCAGCACTTGTGATGTAACTTTATTGTTAAAATTAACTGTTTTAAATCAATTATAATTTACAGACTATGTTCTTACCCTTTAGAGTCTATATTTCATATTCAGAAATGTTAACTGTTGTAATTGAAATGTTATTGTACAGTCCTCATCAGGAAAGTTTGGGGGTGGGGATAGAAATCTCAAGTTCCTTAAATAAATGCCAGGAAAATGCTTTTTGCTATCATGCTTTATCCCACGTGGGCCATTAAAAGGAGATCTTTAGATATGAAAAGGCTCCCTTCTAAGAAGGAATATACATACTGCTTTCATAAAAGGAAGATGACTTTCCTTATGGAATAAGAATTCAAGATTGTAATATCTATTACCAACAGGAAGTATGGTAGAAAGGATCTATAATCTATTAAAAATGCCAAAGAAATGGGGTTGGAGGTTTGTGATCAACACTGTAAAATTAAAATGAATGACAATGACAAATTTAAAATGTGCTTTTTTCAATGGTATCAAGTTTTGTCCATATCAGATAAATGTAAAAAAAATGTATTATCTTGTAAATCTTGTATTTAAAAAAGGAGGATGGGGGGCAGATCTCTGAGGGAAAATAATGTTAAATTTAAGGTATCTTAACATTTGAGAACTATCTGGTTACAGGATTTGGTAATACATCTGTGCTCAGGAATAAGAAAATACATGTTGATGCTAGAACTTAGAATACCGACCTACCTCACAGTGGGGTTGAGAAGGCTTCAGTAGTTTTAAAACGTCTTTTGTACCTACTCCATAGTGCCTAGCAGCTAGCTAGGTTTATAGTAAGTGCTCAATAAATTCCAGGTATTTATCACAGTAAACTGCTAGAGTATAGCCACACACTGTAATTAATGTACTTGTCATCAATTGCAATTGTTTATAGTAACCATTGTTTCTTTTTCCTAATGTTAGAAGCCAAACTTGACATCTGTAAAGGTAATAATAATAAAATGATAAAAATTCCATTCAGGAGAAAAATGCAATTTCTCTGATAGAAGTTTGGTGGACAAATGAATAGTAAAAAAAAATATTTTTATTCAGTACATATGAGCATGTTCTACTCCTAAATGAAATCTCATAATTAAAACTTAGTAAACATTTAGGATTTTCCCTTCCAAATAATGGTAATCAACATTTTTAATCTTGACATTGTGTAATTGTCGATCACTTGAATTTTCCAGAGTGCCTTATATATACAGTCGCTTTGACTGGGCTTGTACAACTGAGTGAAGCTTAAGTTTTTTGTTGTTCAGTCGTTTCAGTTGTGTCTGACTCTTTGTGACCTTATTTGGCATTTTCTTGGAGTGGTTTGCCCATTTCCCTCTCCAGCTCAATTTATAGATGAGGAAACTGAGGCAGAGTTAAATGACTTGCCCAGGGTCACACAAGCTAGTTAGTGTCAGAGGCAGGATTTGAATTCAGGAACATGAGTCTTCCAGACTCCAGGCCCAGCACTCTAAGCTGTCCTGAGTTTTACTAATATGCTTTTAAGTGTTATGATCAAGATGCAGTGAGCCTGTGGCATAAAATAGTATGAGTTGCCTTCCCCCCCCCCCCCCCCCTTAAGTTTCTGCTTGCCCAGGCAGGTATAGGTCTTCTGGGCATGTGGTTTTTTTGTTTTGTTGTTTTTTGAGGCAACCGAGGTTAAGTGACTTGCCGTGTTACACAGTTACTAATAGTGTCTGAGGCCACATTTGAACTTGGGTCCTCCTGATTCCAGGGCAGGTTCTTTATCTGCTGAGCCACCTTGCTGCCCTTGGGCATATGTTCTTTAACAAATAAAACCACTTTAATAAACTCTAAAATTCTTTAAATTACCATCTATTGCACTATAGGAAAATTAGCCAATGGTCATTTGAGAATTAAAGCTGCAGGTTGCTATGATTTAACAAACTATCAAAAAAGCATTGAAAACAAAACTATTCACTGAAGCCTGGCGTACAAGTGTCTGAAGATTTTTTTCAGATTCTTCATGTGGTTTTCATAACCACGTTGTGATTTCCTGCTCTTTTTAACATTTTATAGTGCCTGGAAGGACCCAATTAAAGCCATTCATTTAGAATAAAAATTAAAGCATAGGGGCAGCTAAGTGGCGCAGTGGATAGAGCACCATCAACCCTGGAGTCAGGAGGACCTGAGTTCAAATTTGGCCTCAGACACATAACACTTACTAGCTGTGTGACTCTGGGCAAGTCACTTAACCCCAATTGCTTCACCAAATTGAAAAAAAAAAAAAGCATGTTTGGGTATTGATTTGTCCAGATGCTAGATTCCTCGTCTTCAAAAATAGGACTACTCCAAATCTGCAGAGCTAAATTTATAATCTAAGAAAAACTACACATTTATAGTTTTTATTCACGCCCAGAGGCCTGTACATTCCATTCCATTTCAGGTGCTGTTAGGTCACTGTTTAATGATGAAAAGGCATATGTTGGATGTGGACTTGTTTTCAATAGTCTTCTCTTTGAAAGTTGGGGCAGCGAGGTGGCACAGCAGATAGAGTGCTGGGCCTGGAGTGAGGACGACTTGGTCAAATCTGTCCTCAGAAACTTACTGTATGACCTAGCACTAAGCACAGTGCCTGGCTTAATACGCATTTATTGATTAATGGCCCCAGGCAAGTCACTTAACCTCGGTTTACCTGTGTTTCCTCATCTATAAAATGGGAATAATAATAGCACCTACTTCCCAAGGTGGTTGTGAGCATAAAGTAAGATAATAAAGTGCGTAGCACAATACCTGACATGTACTAAGCACTAGATAGATAAATATATTATTATTATCAAAAGTACAGGCCTATTGATAAAACCATATTTAAGAAGCTATCATCTAGGGGCAGCTAGGTGGTGTAGTGGATAGAGCACCGGCCCTGAGGTCAGGAGGATGTAAGGTCAAATGTGGCCTCAGACACCTATAACACTCACTAGCTGTGTGCACCTGGGCAAGTCACTTAACGCCATTGCCCAGCCAAAAAAAAGAAACATCTAGTTAAAAGTTCAGAGGGATATCAGTTCTTTTTTTAAATATATATTTTTTATTTTTCCCCAATTACATGTAAAAACTTTCAAAACATTTTTTATTTAATTTTGAGTTCCAAATTCTCCTCCTTTATTTCCTCTTCATTAAGAAGCAAGCAATTTGATATAGGTTATGCGTGTGCAGTCATGCAAAACATTTCCATATTAGTCACATTGTAAAAGAAAACACCAAAAAAAAATGAAGTTTTCTAAAAAGTTTGCTTCAATCTCCATTCGGACTCCATCAATTCTTCATTTGGAGATGGATAGCATTTTTCATCCTAAGTACTTCAGAACTGTCTTGGATCATAGCCAAGTCATTCACAATTGATCACCATACAGTATTGCTATTATTGTGTACAATATCCTCCTGGTTTTGCTCATTTCACTTTGTTTTAGTTCATGTAAGTCTTTCCAGGTTTTTTCTGAGAGTATCCTGCTCATCATTTCTTAAAATACAATAGTATTCTATCACAATCAAATACCACAACTTGTTCAGCCATTCCCCAATTGATGGACATCTCCTCAATTTCCAATTCTTTGCCCAAACAAGAAACTGCTATAAATATTTGTGTGTAAGTCCTTTTCCTTTTTTTTTTTCTTTTTTGTCTCTTTGGGACACAGACCTGGTAATGGTATTGCTGGATCAGAGAGTATGCATAGTTTTTTAGCCCTTTGGGCATAGTTCCAAATTGCTGTCCTGAATAGTTGGATCAGTTCATAATTCCAGCAACGATGCTTTACTGTCTCAATTTTCCCCCATTTCTTCTGGTGTTTGTCATTTTCCTGTTCCGTCATGTTAGTCAATCTGATAGGTGTGGGATGGTAACTCAGAGATGTTTTAATTTACATTTCTCTATTCAATAGTGACTTAGATCATTTTTTCATATACCTAAAGATCGCATTAGTTACTTTGTGTGAAAACTGCCTGTTCGTATCCTTTATTTATCAATTGGGGAATAGCTCTTATTTTTATAAATTTGACTCAATTCTCTATTTGAGACATGAGGCCTTTAGCAGAGAAATTTGCTATAGAAGTTTTTTTCACAGTTATGATTACTGTTTCCCTGCATCCTATTTTCCATTTATCCTATTCTCTCCTTTCATTCTGTCCATCCTACTGCCTTCCCCCCCCCCCAGTGTCCCCTCCCTTCTATCACATCCTCCCCCTTCTCTTATCCCCTTCAACTCCTTTTCCAATAGGGTAATATATATTTCTATACCTGAGTATGGTATTACCGCCAATTCTGATAAATAAGGTTCAAGTGCTCCTCTTTACTTCTCCACTATAGAACCTTTCATGTCTCTTTTATGTGAGATAGTTTACCCTAATCTACCTTTCCCTTTCCCCTTCTTCCAGTGCACTCCTCTTTCTCACCCTTTATTTTTTTTTTTTTTAGCTATCATCCCATCATCCTTTCTGTGTGTCAACTCCTAACTGCCCTAAAAATGAGAAAGTTCTTAAGAGTTACAAGTATCATCTTCCCACCTAGGAATGTAAACAGTTTAACCTTTCTGAATCCCTTGTTTGTTTCTTTCTTGTTTACCTTTTTATGTTTCTCTTAATTCTTGTATTTGAAAGACACATTTTCTGTTTAGCTCTGGTCTTTTCATTAGGCATGTTTTAAAGTCCTGTGTCTCATTGCATATCTATTATTTCCCCCAAAAGTTTTGCTGGGTAGGTGATTTTTGGTTGTAATTCTAGCTCTTTTGCCCTCTGGAATATCATGTACCAAGCCTTCTGATCCTTTAACATAGAAGCTGCTTTTAAATCTTGTGTTACCTTGACTGTGGCCCCACAATACTCGAGTTACTTCTTTCTGGCCGCTTGCATATTTTCTTCTTGACCTGGTAGCTCTGGAGTTTGGTTATAATATTCCTGGGAATTTTCATTTTGGGTTCTCTTTCAGGAGATAAGTGGATTCTTTTAATTTGTTTGATCCTCTGGTTCTAGAATATCAGGGCAGTTTTTCTTGATAATTTTTTAATATTTTATTTTCCCCCAATTACATGTGAAAACAATTTTTAACAATTTTAAAAAATGTTTGTAGTTCTAAATTCCCAATTTCCCCTCCCTACCTCCTGTCATTGAGAAAGCAAGCAATTTGATATAGGTTATACATGTGCAGTTGATGGGGTATGGGCCCAAGCAGAGATCTTTGCCCCTTAACCCAAAAATAATTTGGGTCCCATTGTTTAAGGGATTCTCCTTGAATTCTCCCACTTGATCAAGGTCTCTAGAGTTCCCCTGAGGCCATAATCCCATCAACTGGCCTTTCATCGTGACTAAATCCAATCTTCCAATTCTCTGTTACCCTTAACCTAGCCTAGCCCAGCCCTCCATTGTCTTACCTCCCTCCTGGCTACTTCCCACCCATGACCCTATCTAGACCCCATTCTTAACCTCCCAGTCACTCCCATGAAGATCCTTCCTAGATCCCTCCCACAGTCTTTCTGTATATAAGGTCCATCTTATCTCCATTAAGATGCTCAGATTCTTATAATCTAGCCACAGGCTCAGATTCCTTAACAACGAGGCCAATAGCTCCCAAACATTCAGATTCCTTAGGAGTCTGGCCAATATGACAGATGTTATAATAAACCTAGTCTTTGGCTGAAAAAAGGCTTGGGTCAAATTCTTTCGGACAGCACTTAAGTGTCATGATCTCAGGGTCCCAGCACCCCTAAACCCCTGAATCTCATCACAGTCATGTAAAACATTTCCATATTAGTCATGTTGTGAAAGAAAACATAGCCAAAAAAAAAAAAGAAAGTAAAGGAAAAGTATGCTTCAATCTGCATTCAGATTCCATCAGTTCTTTGGAGATGGATAGCATTTTTCATCATATGTCCTTCAAAATTGTCTTGGATCATCGTATTGTTGAGAATAGCTGAATCACTTACAGTTGATCATCATACAATATTGCTGTATTCAGTGTTCTTCTGGTTCTTCTCATTTCACTTTGCATCAGTTCATGTAAGTCTTTCCAGGTTTTTCTGAGAGCATCCTGCTCATCATTTCTTATAGCACAACAGTAATCCATCACAATCCAACACTTGCAGCCATTCCCCAACTGATGGACATCCCCTCAATTTCCAATTCTTTGCCAAAACAAAAAGCTGCTGTAAATGTTTTTGCACATACAGGTTCTTTTCCCTTTTTGTTTTTTATCTGTGAGACACAGAGCTGGTAGTGGTATCGGTGGTTCAAAGGGTATACGTGGTTTTATAGCATGTTTTTTGGGCATAGTTCCAAATTGCTCTACAGAATTGGTTGAATCAGTATACAACTTCACCAATCGTGCATTAATGTCTCAATTTTCCCATATCCCCTCCAACATTTTTCATTTTCCTTTCCTATTAGCCAATTAGATAGGTGTGGGGTGGTAGCTTAGAGTTGTTTTAATTTACATTTCTCTAATTGATAGTAATTTACAACACTTTTTCATATTACTATAGATAGCTTTAATCCCTTTGTCTGAAAACTGCCTGTTCATAAGCTTTGACCATATCAGCTGAGGAAAGGTTCTTATTTCTATCTATTTGAGTCAGTTCTCTATATATTTGAGAAATAAGATCTTAGACACTGGCTGAATTTTTCACATTACTGTACATTTTCCTCCATCCTATTTTCTCTACCCTATTCTCTTTCCTTTCACCGTCAATTCTTGAGTGTTTTGCTTCTGATTTTTACCTCTCCCAATTTGCCCTTCCTTCTACTAGCCTTCCCCCCCTTATTTTATCCCCTCCCCCTCCTATTTTCCTGTGGAATTATATAGATTTTTATACCCAGCTCAATATGTTAACCCCTTTTTGAATTAATTCTGATTACACTAAGGTTCATGAGCTCCCTCCCCTTTCACCTCCTGGACATCTTTCTCTACATTGTAAAAGCTGCTTTGCACCTCTTTTAAGTCAGATAATTTTACCCCATTCTACCTCTCCCTTTCCTCTTCTCCCAGTGCATTGCTCTCTCACCCCTTAATTTTATTTAAGATAATGATCCTATTATATTCAACTCATGCCTAAGCCCCTCTATATGCCCTAATAAGATTTTAGAAGTTACAAGTACCATTTTCCCATGGTAGTTTAACCTTATTGAATCCCTTATGATTTCTCTTTCTTGTTTACCTTTTTATGCTTGAGTCTTTTATTTGAAAATCAAAATTTCTATTCAGCTCTGGTCTTTTCATCAGAAATGCTTGAAAGTTTTCTATTTCATTGAATGTCCATTTTCCCCCTGAAGAACAATACTCAGTTTTGCTGGGCAGGTGATCCTCGATTATAATCCCAGCTCTTTTATCCTCTGGAATATCATACTCCAAGCCCTCTGATGCTTTCATGTAGAAACTGTTAAATCTTGTGTTATCCTGACTGGGGCTCCACGATAATCTGGATTGTTCTTTTTTGGCTGTTGGCAATATTTTCTCCTTGATCTGGGAGCTCTGGAATTTGGCTATATTCCTGAGGGTTTTCATTTTGTGATCTCTTTCAGATGACTGGTGGGTTCTTTCAGTTTCTATTTTTATCCTCTGCTTCTACAATATCAGGGCAGTTTTCCTTGATAATTTCTTTTTTGCAAGGCAATTGGGATTAAGTGACTTGCCCAGAGTCACACAGCTGGTAAGCGTTATGTGTCTGAGATCACACTTGAACTCATGTCCTCCTGACTCCAGGGCCAGTACTCTATCCACTGTGCCACCTAGCTGCCCCACCTTGATAATTTCTTGAAAGATGATGCCTAGGCTCCTTTTTTTTCAATCATGGCTTTCTAGTAGTCCAATAATTCTTAAATTATCTTTCCTGGATCTATTTTCCAGGTCAGTTGTTTTTTCAATGACATCTTTCACATTTTCTATTTTCTCCTTTTGATTTTGCTTGTTTCTTGATGTCTCATTGAGTCATTAGCTTCCATTTGCCCAATTCTAATTTCTAAGAAATTATTTTCTTCAGTGAGCTTTTGTACCTCCTTTTCCATTTGGCCAATTCTACTTTTTAATGAGTTCTTCAGTGAATTTTTGTACCTCTTTGGCCAAATCTGCTTTTTTTTTTTTTTAATAATTTTTAGTTTTCAACATTCACTTCCATAAGATTGAGTTTTAAATTTTCTCCCTCTCCCTCTTCTCCACTCTTATTGTTGCATTCTGAGAGGCTATGCCAATAGGGCACTTAGCTTCTGCCACATTCAAAGGAAGGGCTTTGAGAGCAGGCCTATGGCAGATAAAGACTTTATGTCCCTCTGAAAACCAAATGGTTGAAGGACCAAGAAGTTCATTATTGGAAGTTGGCTATCAGGTGACTTTTTTGACTACAGCAACCTATTATGATGGATTTCTAGGGCAGGAGAAGAACTGTGATCTTAAATGAAAGGAGTACTCATGCTAATAAAATTAGTGATCTTTGAAATAAATATAATTTCACAGCAACAAATTCAACAATGGTATTCTTCAAACAGAGGTTTATTTTCAGAGATAATTCTGAACACATTTGTTAAAGAAAATATTTACAAAATATAAAGCATTTTCAGTTGACCAACATCTGAAGGCAGATGATAGTACCCAGTCAGAGTCTGACCACGTTAAGTTTTTATGTGAAAATTTTAGTGACATGAAATATTTTAAAATACTGTGATTTCCACTTTTACCATCATTCGTATCTTCCATTTCACTGGAAAAATAATCCAAAATCTAGACAATGACTAGAAGAGTTGTTCAAGCCTGAACATATAATCTCTCAAAATTTTGTGCCTTACTATTACACTCACTGACCACTCCAGATAAGCTACTAGAAATTTCAAAGCCAGAGGCTCTTTGCTTTCACCTAAAGAGTGTTTTACTTTGTTAATTAGCTTTTTCTTTCAAGCAGTAACTTCGGTGCAACGGGGGCAAAGTTGATTTGAAGAATCAGCTGTGTACTTCCAACAGCGGGGACATTTTTCTTTGGTAGCAGGTATGACAATGACTTTATATGAAGTCTCTTCACGAATACCTATAAAAGGAAAATAGATGGTAGAATTACTCATAGCACATTTTAGTCCTAACATATCTCTCTAAAAATAGATTAACTCTGGTGTCAAGAGGTAGGAGAAGATATTGAAAATGTGTGCCTGGAAAAGGAGGTTGGGCTAGACAGACAGTGAGACTAAAAACAATTCAAGTGGTATACCAAAATCATAAAAACAAAATAAAAACTTTCAGCAAGCAAGTTGAACACCTATTTGAAGAATTTAGGAGAAAAACTTGGATAAGAATGGCATGTAAGAAGGGATAAGGGAATGATGCATATCTGTGGCAGAAACATCCTCACAGACCTCCTAAAGTATAGCAACAGATTTAAATTACATAAGCAGAAAAGGAAAAGCCACAAGAATGCATTAAAAGCAAGGCTAGGCAGCCACCCATGTTCTGAGGAGAGGTCCACTACCACCATGAAACCTAAAGTGAGGGGCAAGGAGACCCTGGAGTTTCAAGGCAATAATGAGTTCAGTAGTCAAAGAAAAGGCAGCTCAAGGGAGTTAAGGAAGATTCCTAACATGATTCATATTTATTTTCTCATATTTCTCTCATACTAAAACCCCAAAATATTTTCTCCCATACTACCTAAAAAATTTCAGACACTTTAAGAAGAGATTGTTTTGAGCCACCAATGAGTCTCATTCTTATCAGTTACTTCCACAGGACAGTAAAGCAAATTAAATCTTTCTTCCTAATATCTAGATAATCCTCACTGAGGTAAAAGGACTTTTTATTAAAGCTTTCTTCTCAGTTCCCCTAAGTTTATGGCCTCAGTATCACTCTCAATGGCTCACTCCAATCAACTACCTAATCTTGTCATTTCTATCCCTACATCTTTTTCTGCATCAGAGCCCCATCACTTGTCACATGGACAATTCAAGAGTCCTCCTTATTGGCCTTCCTGCCTCACATCTCTCTTTATTCCAATTGATTTTCCATAGTATCTGCCAAACAGATTTTCCAAAGCTCAAATCTGAACATGTCACTTCCTTCTCAAATTTCTCTGAGAATCAAATGTGAAGTAGCACACTTCAGGTGCTAGGGAGAGCCAGTGAGAAGGCATGGAAGTGGGCGACAGCACCAGGAATAACAAGGAACAAGACCAAAATGACTGAACTGTAGGTAATGTGAAGGGGATTAATAAGCAAGGCTAGAAAGACTAGGTGGTACTGGGGATAAACTGCCAGGCCTGGAGTCAGGAAGACCAGAGTTCAAATACAATTTCAGAAACATACTAGGCTCTGGGACCCTGGGCTGAGTCACTTAACCCTGTTTGCCTTAGTTTCCTCATCTGTAAAATTCCTTCCTGGAGAAGGAAATGGCAAACCACTCAAGTAGCTCTTTCAAAAAACCCAAATGGGGTCACAAAGAGTCAGACACAACTGAAACGACTCAACAACAACTACAATAACAACAGCAATAGAAAGGTAAGACTGGGGTTTGGCCATTAAGGGTTATAAAAACCACACAGTTGTTGATAATTTGATCTGAGAGGCAATACCCAAGTAGCAAACTATTCACGGTAGTTTGTCAGGTAGGGAAATGACATGGTCAGATATGCTCTCTTGGAAAATCACTTTGTCAGCAGTATGGAAGGTGGGTTAGAGAGGAGAAACCTGAGGAAGGAAGATCAACTAGGAGGTTATTAGAAGTCCAGGTGAGAGATGAGGTGGAAATGACTAGATTTAGAACAAGGATAACACTAAGGCTGTCATCCTCAATGACAACCCCAGTGTACAGATGGTGATATGCTCAGAAGAAATACTGAAATGAAGAAAAGGGGTAGGTTGAGGAGATGAACAATGAGTTTTGTTTTAGACATGTTGAGCCTGAGATGCTTACATCTAAAAGTCCTAAAGGCAACAGAAGATATACAGCTGAAACACAGGAGAAACTGGGCTAGATTAACATACAGGATTAACCTATGGCAATATGATCATTAAAAACCTATGGGAGCCAATGAGATCACTAAGTGAATGAGTGTATCAAGAGAAGAGGGCCATCCTTTTGGGGTTCACCCACAGTTAAGGGCATGTTATGAATGATTAACAAGCAAATAAGACTAAGAATTAGTGATCAAGTGTTATTGTTCAGTAGTTTCAGTCATGTTTGACTTTCTGTGACCCCATTTGGGGTTTTCTTGGCAAAGATACTGGAGTGGTTTGCCATTTCCTTTTCCAATTCATTTTACAGATGAGGAAACTGAGGGAAACAGGATGAAGTGACTTGCCCAGGGTCACACAGCTAGTAAGTGTCTGAGGCCAGATTTAAACTCAAAGAAGAGGAGTCTTCCTGACTCCACATCTGGCTTTATCCACTGTGCCACCCAGCTGCCCCTAGTGATCAAGTAGGTAGGAGAATAAAAGGTGCATCAGAAAAACCCTGAAAAGAAAAGTGTACAGGAGGAGAGAGTGGTCAACATCACATGCTGTCAAAGATGTCAAAAAGGATTGAGAAAAGGGACATCAGATCTGGCCATTAAGATATCATTGGTTCAACTGGGGAATGGCTAAACAAGTTATGGTATGTGATTGTGACAGAATACTACTGTGCTATAACAAATGATGATCTGGTAGATTTTAGAAAAACATGGAAAATGAACACTGTGAAATAAGAGATTCATGTTTTCATACTGAATCCCTTTTTTGTTGTGCTACGAACATGGAAATTTTTTTTGTCCTTTTGTATTTAAATTCAAAATGAATTAAAAAAAAAAAAGACATAATTGGTAACTTTGGAGAAAAGAGTTTCAGTTGAATAATACAACCAGACCAATAAGTCTCACCAGCAAATACGAAGATCCTCTGTGGCCTTTATTTCTATACTTCTTAAGCGGCTATTATTAGTAATATGATCCAACTACATTATGAGTGGTCTGATTTTAGAACCTGATCGTTATAATTTCTATGGGAGAACTGTATGTCTCAAATTCTTAAAAATATTTAAGATGTGACTTCAAATGACTTAATTTTTTGGAATAAAACCTTTTTTATTAAATTTGGGGGCTACCTATAATAATCCACTACTACCCTGAATTTCAGTTCTATCTATTGTTAGCTGTATCTCACGACCTTACCTTCCATGTTGATTAGATAGCTCCCTTTAAGTTCAATTGCATCTGCAGGGATTGCTATAGGATCTTGAGCCAACAGAGATGTTTGGGAAGCCATCATCAGTTCACTTAACTGAGATATACCAGAAGTTCCTTCATCAACTAGCATCTGGAAATAAGTATTTGACATGGTCACTAATTATATTATAATTATTTAAAAGTTCTTTTTAACATTAGCTGAGCATAGAGGAAAACAATGAACTCTGGAATTCTTTAGGATGGCTCTATGCCTTTTAAAATAATAATAATATCTTGTGCTCATTCTAATGAATGCATCAGTTATTACTGATATTAAAAGCTTTGATTAAATATAGTTCCTGTTAACTTCCTGGTATTAAGAAATCAACATATCAGTTAAACCCTAAGGAACATTCCCTCCCCCCACCCATTTTTTTTTTTGCCAATAGTGATCACTGCTAGCAATCTGAGATGATACAGGTCCTTCCTGGGGTTTATCAGTCACTGTTTTTTATAATTACAGAAACTGTGAAAATTACCAAATTCACAATTTTTTCATTCTGAGATATCTTAAAAACTAGATCTTTAAATTAATATATCATCTTTTTTATTAAAGTGTATTCTTTCTGACAGAAATCAATAGTAACATTCTCTTCTACCTATTTCTAACCTCCCATTGAGGTACAATGAAAAATCAAATGCCATTTTAATACTCATTTTAAATTGGAATTCAACTTTAAGAGTGCAGACAAAGAAGGTCACAACATTTCTTAAGAACTGTCTGGATAGTAAAACTGCAAAAATTTAAATTTACAGACAGGCAATCCCATGGAAGGTAAGCAATTAAAGCAACTACAACACAGAATAACATCACACAAGAAAAGCAAAACTTGAAGCAGAACTGAAGCCTCCTAAATCCTATCTCATGCATAACTTGTATTGGAATAGGAGTCCCAAGAAAGTTCTTCGAATGATTTTAAATGAGGTACAACAGCTTTTCCCCGTCAAGATTTGTGGGATAGTTCAAAACACTAATAATTATTTCAAAAGAAAGATTGGTAGTCTACATACCTCAATAATTTCAAAGAGTAGTCCAGGATCGATCACAACGATAACATCATATTCCAAAGAATTCTTGCCAGGGATGCTTCCAAGAAATGCATCTCTCATTGTACATGCTGCATCCACTGCTTCCTCTAGGCCCGGTTTCTTCCAAATAGAATTTGTACTAATCCATCCAGAACGAAATACACTCTTGGGTTCTTAAAAGAAAACAAACTGATTTAATTTCAGATTCAAGCCCTTTCATAAACTGCATTTATTCATAAACTTCATAATTATTAATATGATCTATTAAACAAGTATTTGATAGACAAGATAAACTATAAACACAAATAGATATGATGTAAATTGGAATATAAGAATGCAGAGAAAAATACAGATCAGACCAACTGGAGAGAATTCTTTCCTATTGAGGAAATCAGAGAAAGCCTCTCATGAAGAAGAGAAGGCAGAATATTAAACGGCAGAGATGGGGGTGAGATATTTGTCTAATAATAAGTTAATACATTACCGAAGGAATTGAACCACATTATTACTGACATTCTCAACAAAAACAACAAACCAAATTAGTTGCAGCTAAATGGAAGAATGATTCATGGACTCTCCTGAACAAAGTGAATTTAAAAAGTGTTTTTAAGGTGCTGATAAGCGACCAGAATCCTCACTTCAAAGGAGTCTTAGTCACTTGCTTTGCAATATTCATGATGTACGTAAAATGCCATTAAGAAAATGAGTCTTATGTACCAACATCTGTTGCAAATTATAAAGAAAGGAATTCTATAAAGAACTTGACAAAGTTCTCTAACCTAACTTCAAACTGAAGGAGCAAAAGGGGAAATAGTGAAAAATATTGTTGGGGACTAAGAAATGTGTGCTCTTTATTTGGAGATTAGATCTCAGTACCAGAAATTAGAAAACAGAAATAACACTTAAGAAAATGAAATTAGGAAGCGAGGCTGGACTGGACAACGGACACAAGGGAAAAATACAGCTGAAAGGAACACAAAAAATGCAATTACACAAGATTGTATTGCCCCCAAAAGGCAAAAGAAAAACCATCTGTAACTACTGACTCATGATTACTTTCCCATAGCTTAAAATCTTTACAAAAATGGACTAAATCAGGAGTTTTTAATCTGAAATCCATGAACTTAAAAAAAAATTACAACGATATTTAAAATGTAATTGGTTTCCTTTTTAATTCTATGTATTTTATTTTAAGCATTTAAAAATATTCTGAGGGGCAGCTAGTTGGCGCAATGGATAGAGCACCAGCCCTTGAGTCAGGAGGACCTGAGTTCAAATCCAGCATCAGACACTTGACACTAGCTTTGTGTCCCTGAGCACTTAACCCCACTGCCTAGTCCCCCTGCAAAAAAAAAATTAAAAAAAAAAAATTAAAATATTCTGAGAAGTGGTCCAGAGACTTCCTCAAACTGTCAAAGAAAAACAGAACACAAAAAAGATTAGTCCATATACATATTAAATATATCCCTGATGAAAATATAAAGGAAAAGGCTAGCTTCCACAAATTTTTCTATAGTAGACCACATCTTTACAATCAAACAGCTGATGGGGAACTATAGGGAATACATGCTTACACTGTTTATTGTTTGCTTATTATAAATAAATAAATAAATAAGAGCCTATGAAAAACAAATATTTGACCTTCTAGAAAAAAATATAATCTCAAAGGCTGTTTTCCAGTGCCACACGTATACTAAGGTCATAAGAGATTTCTTAACGGATAAAACAAAAATAACAATTTTGTTCATTAAGCCTCAGTAATATCAGATGAGAAATAAAACAGACATAGGCTGGCTAAAGGTGTTTGTCACTCTCATGAAGGATATCCAGAACAAATTTCAAATAAAAAAGGAATCCATAGTGCTAGTAAGGTACTCCAAATGCTCTTATCTGAAGATAATAATATGACAAGTCACAATACTCTGGGACCTCTTCGACAAGATCAGAAAGGAAAAACAAAGTGGATTCTATATGGTTATGTATCATGAAACATAATGATTTCCAAAGGATCAAAATTGTGGGCAACATGAAGGATAACAGTTAATCTAAGTAGACCATAGCATTAAAAAATATTATCAATCAACAAACATCTCTTAAGAATCTCCTATGTGTCAGGAACTAAGCTAGGCACTGAGGATTCTAAAGCAAAAGTGAAACTATCATTGCCCTCAAGGAGCATATACTCCAACAGGAGATAACATGCATAAACACAGATGTGTGTACACAACACATACAAAGGAGACACAAAGTAAACTGGGAGTGGGAGGAAGGAAATACAGTAGCAGCTGGAGAGATCAAGAAAGGCTTCACAAAGAAGGTGGTAGTTGAGTCGAGTTGTAACGGACAAAGCCTGGAAAGAATATATTCACATCTATGGATACGGATGTTAATTTAGTAAAGGAGACTGAGAAGAAGGATCAGAAAGGAAGTAGGAAAATCAAGATGCAGCAGTTTCAAAAAACACTGAGGAGAGTATCAAGGAAAAGAAGGTCATCAACAGTGTCAAATACAGGGAAAAGGTCAGGAAAATGAAGAGTGGGAAAAGGCCATTCTATCTGGTAACTAAGGTTAAAAAGGAAATGTATATAAAGGTTGATACCACAAACAAATCAGGGGAGCAAGGATCTACGGAGAAGGGAAGAATTTATGACCAAACAAGAGACAGAGAGCACTGAGAAATGTAAAATGGATAATTTTGATTATATTAAATTAAAAAGGTTTTGCACAAACAAAACCAATGCAACCAAGATTAGAAAGAAAGCAGAAAGCTGGGAAAAATTTTTTTTTTACAGCAACTATTTCTGATAAAGGCCTCAATTCTCAAATATGTAGAGAACTAAGTCACATTTGTAACAATACAAGTATTTGCCAATTAATAAATGGTCAAAGGATATAAACAGGCAATTTTCAAAAGAAATCAAAACTATCTCTAGTCACAAGAAAAAATGCTCTCCATCACTATTAATGTAAATTAAAACAACTCTGAGGTATCAATCACCTCATACATATCATATTGGTTAATATGACATAAAAAGAAAATGATAAATGCTGGAAAGGATGTGGGAAAACTCAGACACTAATAAACTGCTGATGGAGTTATAAATTGATCCAATCATTCTAGAGAGTAATTTGGAATTATGCCCAAAGGGTTATAAAACCATGTATACCCTCTGATCCAGCAATATCATTACTAGGTCTGTATCCAAAAGAGATTTAAAAAAAAAAAAAAAGGGAAAAGGACCTATTTGTACAAAAATATTTATAGCAATTTTTTGTGGTAGCAAAGAACTGGAAATTGAGGGACTGTCCATCTACTGGGAAATGGCTGAATGAGTTCTGGCATATGACTATAATGGAATACTATTGTGCTATAAGTATTGATAAGCAGGATGATTTCAGGAAAACCTGGATTTATATGAATTGATACAAAGCGAAGTGAGCAAAACCACTGTACAATGATCAACTGTGAATGATTTAGCTATTCTCAGCAATACAATGATCCGAGACAGTTCCAAAAGACTCACGATGAAAAATGCTATCCACCCCCAGAGAAAGAACAGAAGGAGTCTGAATGCAGATCAAGGCATACTATTTTTCACTTCCTTTATGTGTTTGTATATGTGTGTTTTGGTCTGTCCTCTTTCACAACATGACTAATATGGAAATATGTTTTGCATAACTGCAACGCATAATCTATATCAAATTGCTTACTGTCATAGGAAGGGAGGAGGGAGAGAATTTGGAATTCAAAAAAATTATTAAATGAATGTTAATTGTTTTTGCATGTAATTGGGAAAAAATGAAAAATTTTTTTAAAAAGGAAATATATTTTTAGAAAAGGAGGTTGTCTGAACACATTAAGAAATTAAGATATATTGGATGGCAAGTCCAAGTCCATTATAACCAGAAAGATAAAGATGTATAGGAGGCTTCCCGCATTGTTGCGTGCAGGTGTTCTTCATCTGGGATCAATGAACTTGCTTTTAAAAATATTTTGATAACTGTATTTCAATATGATTCGTTTCCTTTGTAATCCTATGGGTTTTATTTCATGAATTTAAAAATGTGATTCTGAGACGAGGGTCCATGCACTTCACTAGACTGCCAAAGGGCTTTTAACACTCCAAAAGTGGAAAAATTTCTGCTCTAGAGAGAATTTATGTTAGAGCACACTGGTGAATCACATAGGATGAAGATGATAGTTGAAATTTATATACTGTTTTAAGGAATACAATGTACTGTAAACAAATTATAATTAGATCCTCATAACAATCCTCTAAGGTGGTTTATTCTTACCTACATTTTGCAGATGTCAGATCTGAGGTGCACAGAAATTAAGTGACTGGCAATGTTTCATTCCAAAGCCCTGCTCTGTAACCCTAAGAAAATCACTTCGTCTCTGGGTCTCAATTCCCTTATCAAAAGGAGGTAAGACAATGAGGCCTCTAAAGCTAATATGTTAAAAGTCTATTAAACGAGATAATACATGTAAAAGTTCTCCATAAACTACAATGTACTAGACAAAGTATCAGAATTATCACTACCACTTTTCCTCAGTTAAAAATGCAAAATTATTTTACTATAATATAATTAAACAGTAAAGCAGGGTAGACTGCCTTTAGAAACTGCCAAAATGATTTCAAATTGCTTCCAGAAACCAAAGTTAATCTTTTTAAAAATACATCAATATTCTAACAATGTTGAGATACATCTGTTAGAAATGGAAAAAAAATTTCCAAATAGTTGAAAATGGTTAATAGACAGAGGGTAAGAGAGAGGCTCACGGTAGGTTCGAGCAGATAGAGCTTCTAACAGGGAACTGAAGAACATACAGGGTGTTCAATGAAAGAGAAGCTGGGCAGGTCCCCGGGTGAAGATGAGGTACAGGAAGTGGAGAGCCCCAGTAACTCACTCCAGTAACTGGGATGCTTATGATGAGGTGCTTTGGGTGCCCCCGTGTGGTGAACTTGGGGAACAACATGAACAAGTTGCACACAGGATGAACAGGCATTATGAATGGGCTCTGATTTGCAATGCTGGAAGAAAAATCCAAAACACTGAGATTTGAGATCTATGCAAGAGTTTCAAGTCTGAGTGATCACGAGGGTGTTTTTATGAAAAAACATGACCCTTCTCAATCTTTTTCTGTTGGAGGTTATTAGTAATTTGTGACAGTCCACAGCCCTGAATACAGTGAGGAAACTAGCACATACACTTGTGGTGCTGAAATCCTTGCCCCTCTAGAAATGGGTACAGCCTCGCAGACTGGTTATGAAGGTCCCCACTGATACTACTCCTGCCCCCTCACTTATCCTGGCTTTGGAGTTCTCAAAGCACTTTCACTATACCCGATCACATCTGACCCTTACAATCACCCTGTGAGGCAAGCAGGGTTGTTCCTAATCTAAATCAGTGCTGTCTCTTGAAGACAACTGATTATTTTCCATAAGCAGAACACTCCTCACCTTTCTCATAGGGTATGTGTTGGAACACCTCTTCAGCCAAATGAGGGAGAATGGGTGCAATAGAACGCACCATTACATCCAAAATCTCAGCTAATGCAGTCTGACATGAACGTCGTTTGCGATCCTTTTCTCCTTCACAATATAGCCTAAAGAATAATAATATATTCTGTGCTTAACAGTATTTCACAAACTTCACAAAGATAGGTGAGGTCTACTCTTTATTAATCACAACCTCTAGGCTTCCATTTGCCCCCTAAACAACAAATCAAACATTCTACTCATTATATTTACCCCTACTTAATGTCTAAAAGCATCTACAAATTATTTGTTCTATAAAACTGACTACAACCTGTCAGCAGCTGATTCTGAGTGGCCTGCTCAAAGTAAAACAAAGCAAAATTTCTCGTTGCCCTTCTTATCTGAACTTCCTAATTAATGTACTTTTACTCCTTCCAGGTGCATGTCCTCTTTACTATTCTCCATCTCATTCTCACTTTTAGCTAAAAGTCAGTTAATTCCTAGGGCAATAGGTAACCATTAAATGATAATAGTTATGTGTCAGCTTTTCTAGAGAGATTTGTGTTTTAAAGAGGTACAGTAACCCATCATATAGAGAAGCAGTTCCCCTAGGATAATGCCTCCATACAGAGGTACTGGAGGAGAAGGAGGACTGATCTTCAGAGCACCCACACCCTAACTTAATGAAAAAGTGAACATGAAGACCTGGCATACAATTTCTGAAAGGTGGCTGACAATTGTAATACAATTAAATTGTCATCTTCTAGTTTAAATGAGGAACCCTTGAATTTTGAGGTGATGTCTGTTTCTATCATTCTTTCAGTATTCTCACTGAATTCCAGTTAGCAGTAAAATGAGGGTTTCTTCCTTTCTCGAGATAGTCAATAAACAAAAAAATACCAGGATAGACTCTTTAATACTAAATTAATAACTTCAAATGCAACTTTAAAGACTAGGAATACATACCTATCTTTGATTATGCTGAAGTAAAAGTTAGAGAGTTGTCTAGGATAAAATGCTTGCAAATGCCGAACAGCTTTTCCAAAATCATACTGCTTATATGCTTCAGTAATCTGGAAGAAAGGCCAGAAAAAATTAACAGTGCATATTAAAAATTAATAATTAAAAAATTAATAGTGAACAGCTAAATTGTAAGTAGTAATCATGAGCCAAACAATGTTGTTTTTAGAAATTTTTCTTTGTCTGGAAAAGAAAAAAAAATGAAAATCTGAGATAATGTAAAAGGGTTTCACTCAGCTCTTGTGGATATGATCCTAATTTACATCTTAATAAGGAATAAAAGACTATGTATATAAACATAAAGACATTCATTGTTCTTTTGAGCCTGCAAAGTAGTATGCATTTAGGAAAAAATTTTTTAATGATAAAACTTTATTTTTGCCTTAAATGACAGCTGCAATTTATTGCACCATTATTTCACCCAATCAATGAGGAAAGTGCAATGGTAGACTCATGGCAAAATTACAACAATACACTGTATACAGGTCAAAAGCACCCCAGGCAAAGCTACACTAACGATATCTCGAAAAAGTATCAGATTTTTTAAAGAAAATTTCAAAGAGAAAGCATACAATTGCTCAATTCTGAAGAAGCGTCTTAAACGCCCCTTCCCCCAAACACTGCTTTACTAAAAGAGATATTTGCTGAGAAACAAAGTAAACTGACTACTCAACTTACTGTATTACTGCCATAGAAAAAATAGAAGACTACAGAGGAATAAAAAGTTGCTAATGTTTCTATCTGATAGAAAAAGAAGAGTTTTACCTACCTCCAAAGCTCTAGGCTTTCCTAGGGAGAAAGATACCAATCCTTAAGACACCAGCCTAAAAATACCAATCATTTTATGTGGTTGGCATTTTTATCCAACCTAATAATACTGATCTTGCTACACATTTGTGTGTTGCTGAAATCTTTCTGCTCATACTTACTAAATAACATACCTTTTTTCCAAAATCTTGAAGTAAATGTAACATGTACTGGTCTATAATATACATCTCTTCAAAGGGGACAGTATCTGTTTCTGGATTGAAATCAGCCACATTTCCCAAAAGAAAGCGAAGTGTATTCCTAAGCTATAAAAGAAAATGTTAAATATACAGTATGAGTTCATTTTGTAATTGTTCATTATTTTTCCCTTTTTTCAGATTCTGAATTTAAAACCACCCCAAGATAGACATATTTACATAGACACTGTAGAATAAAAAGAGAGGATTACATATGAAACTATGAATCTCTATTACATAGTTTGCTCTTCTTTTTAATTATGTAATAAATTTAACACAAAACTTTCTAAGCTGTCTTGCTAGTCCGTGATTCCTTTTGGTCTTTCTTCTCTTCTCTTTTTTTTGGGGGGGGGGGAAAGAGAGTTCTGAGAGCAAACCCTATTCCTCGTTTCCCCATCCCTTCCAGCCACTTCTTCTAGTGAAAAAGAAAACCCCTGTAACAAATTTGCAGAATCAAACAAAACAAATTCTTAGTGGCCATGTGCATCTCATTCTACACCTGATTCGTAATCATTTATTAAAAATTCATCTTAAACATAAATACAACCAATTAAACTTGTTTACAACCATCTTTTTTCTACAAATGAGAAATTCCCAATAGCAAAACAACTTCCATTGATGCAAATTGGTAAACTCTCTACAACTTATGCTGTTGGCACTGAGAGATGAACTAAGTTGTCCATTGTGATCTAACCAATGTATATCTGAGGAAAGTCTTGAACCTAGACCCGACAGCACTACCTATCTTGAAACAATATGTACACAGCATAATTATTTCCCTTCAATATAATGCAAGCTCCTAGAGGGCAGAGATTGTTTCATTTTTCTCTTTATGTTCCCTAGCACCTAGAATAATGTTTGGCACATGGTAGGAAATTTTAAAATAGAATTTTAAATTTTAAATTGTAAATGGAAATAAATTAATTTCAGCCCCCCCCAAACCCGTAACTTTTCCATCATTTCCTTGAAGTCTCCTGTTTCTAGGGTTAACAATTTTCAGAACCATCAATCACTATAAACTGAATTATAGTATTCCATTACCTTAATCACCACAATTAAACCATCCCCCTAATATCAGATTTTCAAGTTATTTTTATTTTTCTACAAGTACAAAAAAATGTTGCTAAAAAAGTCTGAACAGATAATTTCATTTTTTAAAATAACTGTTATGGTTTGATACCACCAATGAAATTACTGAATTGATGGTAAAGACTATTCTTGTCATTTTTAATGCATACTGACAGACTGCTTTCAAAAAAAGTTTCTGATAGTTTGCAATTCGACTAGCAACGAATAAAAACATGCTTTCTCTGCAACTACCACCAGCACTGTTTCTTTATTTTTTATTATTTTGCTCAGTGTGATAGCTGTGGGATATATATATTTAGAGTGACGTATTTGTACTAAAAATTAGAGAAATGCAAATTAAAGTAACTTCTAGTTTCTCCTTCACACTCATTAGATTGGCAAAGATGACAAAAAAGGAAAATGACATGCTGGAAGGGGTGAGGGAAAAGAAGCATGCTACAGCACTGTTGCTAGAGATATAAAATGATCCAGCCATTCTGGAAAGTAATTTGGAACTATGCTTTAAAAGGCTAGATAACAACCTATGGATACCTTCTTTTCCATATAATTTTCATTATGATTTTATCTAGTTCAATGAAGAAATCTTTTGATTTTGTATTAAATATGTAAATTAAGTTTAATGGTTTTTTCTCTATTGACAATCCATGCATAAATACTGAATATTCCTTCCAATTATTAAAGTCTTTCTTTATTTCATCATTATTTTTAAATTGTCCTAGTAGGTCTTTGCTTTTCTAAGCCGGGGAACTCCTCCCAAGTTTTTTTAGAAGACCATACATTCGTAGTAGCACACTGATTAAAATATACTACTTGGTGAAGTAATAGAGTGCTAGATTTAAGATCAGGACAACCTGAGTTCGAATCTTGCTCAAATACTTTGTTGCTGTATGACCTCTGGGCAAGTCACTCTTTCAGCCTGTTTTCTCATCTGTCAAATGGGAATCAAAGCACTTACTTTACAATGAGTTGTTGTAGGGATCACATGAGATAATATATGCAAAGCACTTTGCAAACCTTAAAGTGCTTTATAAACATTGTCTATTATTGTTATTAAAGAGAATATAAGGTCCAACTGTGCTTACTAGCTGACTACAGAAAATCATGTGAGTTTGTAGAGTAAAATGCTAGTCAAAAGCTGTCCTATAAAGGTCTGGGACACGTGTCTTGCATGCATATATCAAAATCATCTAAGACAAAAGATATAACAGATGTAACTTTTTTTTGGGAGATTCTGATTAGTCTCAAACATGGAAAAAACTTGGAGATGCATGTTCAAACAAGTCAGTCAGTAATTTAGTCTGTTTAGAGGCATTTATCAGGCACTATCAAGCACAGTGCTCAGCACTGGAGACATAAAGATTAAAGAAAATAAAAAAGGTCCTACTCAAGGTGCATGCATTCCAGAGAAAGACACATAAATATCTAGGTGCATTCAAGATATGCAGAGCAAATAAAGGTAATCTCAAAAGGGAAAGCATTGGCAATTCCAGGGATCAAGGAAGGATTTCTGCAGAAGGTGGGATTTGAGCTAAGTCCTGAAGGAAACCAGGGAAACTCAAAAGTAGAGGTGAGGGAGCAGCATATTTTGGGCATGGAAAGAGCCTGTGCAAAGCCATGGGGAACAGTTAGTGAAAAGGCATGGTAATGGGAGATAGAGTGATGTATGTGTGGAACAGCAAGAAGACGAGGGTAGCTGATCATAGGAGTAAGGTGGGAAAAGGCTGAAAAGGTAGGAAGGGTTAGGTTATGAAGAACTTTAAATATCAAAGAGAGGACTTCATATTTGTTCCGGGATGTAATAGGATTCACTGGAGCTCCTTCAGCAAGTAAATTACGTGGAGAAACCTATGTTTTACAAAAGTCACCTCAACAGCTGAGTGAAAGATGAAATGGAGTGGGAAGAGATTTGAGGAAAAGAGATGGATCAGAAGTTACTGCACAAGTCCAGCAAGAGGTGATCAAGACCTGAATTATGAGTAGAGCTGTAGGAGTGATGAGCAAATGTATATAGGAGAGATGTCGCAAAGGTAGAAACAAGATTTGGAAACAGAGTGAAGAAATGGTACTGAGAAGAGTGAAAAGCTGAGAAACAGTCTGAGACTATGAACCTGAAACACTGGGACGAAGATGGTGCCTTTAACAGCAATAGCACAGGACATGGCACATAAGAGGCACTATAAAATGTTAATTGTTATTTGTCAGTGTTATTTCTTTTTTTTGCATTTGTATTCCCAGCACTTAGCATAGTATTAGGCATATAGTATGCATTTAAAGCACATTTATTTATTTGCTTAGTTGTTATTATTATTATGTAATACCTCATAGTCTTAGAAGAATTGCCTGGAGCACTGAAAGGTTAAATGATTTGCCCAGGGCTCATTTAACCAGTCAATGTGTATCACAGGTGTTACTTAGTTCAGACTCTAAAGAGAGCTCTTTATCCACTTAGTCATCAGCAGTGGGGGAATATCACTATTAAAAAGTGGGCCTTCATCAACTTGGGAACAGCTGAATAAATCATGGTATATAAGTGTAACAAAATTTTACGGCAGCAGTAAGAAACAATACGAAAAATTCAGAGAAGCAGACGACTTCTATGAACTAAGGAAACTAATAGAACCAGGAAAACAAAATACACAATGATTACAGCAATGGAAAGGGAAAGAACAATAACCAAAATGAAACACTGCATCATTGTAATGGCAATATTTCACCTAGGAAAGAGGAAATGCCCCTTCCTTTCCTTCTTCCTTTTTTATAAAGGGATGAAACTTTGTATATACTCTTAGATTTGGCTGATGTCACAGTTTTCTGAACTGCTTTAAAATTTTTTTTCTTGATAATTATTTATTTTTAGTTTTCAACATTCACTTCCATAAGATTTTGAGTTTTAAATTTTCTCCCCCTCCCTCTCCTCCACACCCCCCAAGACAGCGTGCAATCCGATACAGGCTCTATTTATACATTCATATTAAGCATATTTTCTCATTAGTCATGATGTAAAGAACAATTAGAACTAATGGGAGGAACCATAAGCATGAAGCAATAAAACAAAAGCAAACAGAATGCTTCCATCTGCATTCAGATTCCTCTAAGTTCTTTCTCTGAATGTGGATAGCAATTTTCATCATGAGTCTCTTGGAATTGTCTTAGATCCTTACATTGCTGAGAAGGGCTAAGTCTATCAAAGTCAGTCATCACCTAACGTGGCTGTCACTGTGTACAATGTTCTCCTGGTTCTGCTCACTTACTCAGCACCACTCCATACAAGTCTTTCCAGGTTTTTCTGAAGTCCACATGCTCATCATTTCGTATCGCAGAATAGTATTCTGTTACAATCATATACTGATGTGGTCTAGAGGTTAGGGGTCCCGGAATCCCAAAATCACAACAATGGGTCCTGCCCGAAAGAATTCGACCCAAGCCTTCTTGCAGTCAAAAACAAGGTTTATTGAAGATTTGCCATATAAGCTAGACTCTGAAGGAATCTGAGAATCTATGGGCTATTGGCTAGATTCTAAGAATCAGAGCATCTTAATGAAGACAAGATGGACTTCTATACAGAAAGACTGTGGGAGGGATCCAAGAGTGGCCAAGTAGTTTGGGGTGACTGGAGGAGGAGCCTAAGGAGATCTGGATGGGAGTGGCCAGTAAACTGGGGTGAACAGAACTCCTGGGACCTGAACCTTGTGGCCAAGGGAGAATGGAACCTAGCTAGGATTAAGGGTGGGAAATGGCAGGGGGCCACAGGGAGGTAAGACAATGGAGAGGAGATTGGGTCTAGCCACAATGAAAGGCCAGTTGATGAGATTATAGCCTCAGGGGCAGAGATTTGGCCATGTGGGAAAGTCCAGGGTTTTTCCTTTCTGGAGCCCAGATTCCAACCCCATCAATACCACAACTTGTTCAGTCATTCCACAATTGATGGGCATCCCCTCAATTTCCAATTCCTTGCCACCACAAAAAGAGCTGCTATAAATATTTTTGTACATGTGGGTCCTTTTCCCATTTTTATGATCTCTTTGGGATACAGCCCTGTAAGTGGTATTGCCAGGTCAAGGGGTATGCACAATTTTATAGCCCTTTGGGCATAGTTCCAAATTGCTCTCCAAAATGGTTCACAACTCCACCAACAATGCATTAATGTTCCAATTTTCCCACATCTTCTCCAGCATTTATCATTTTCCTGTTTTGTCATGTCAGCCAATCTGATAGGTATGATGTGGTACCTCAGAGTCATTTTGATTTGTATTTCTCTAATCAATAGTGATTTAGAGCATTTTTTCATATGTCTACAGATGGCTTTAACTTCTTCATCTGAAAACTGCCTGTTCATATCCTTTGACCATTTATCAACTGGGGAATGACTTGAATTCTTATAAATTCGACTCAGTTCTCTATAAATTTTAGAAATGAGGCCTTTATCAGAGACACTGGTTGTAAAAATTCTTTCCCATAATGGAATACTATTGTGCTATAAGAAATGATGAACAGGCTGACTTCAGAAAAGCCTATAAAGACTTTTATGGTCTGATGCTGAGTGAAGTGAGCAGAACCAAGAGAACACTGTACACAATAACAGCCACGTTGTGTGATGACTAATATTGATAAACCTAACCCTTCCCAGAAATACAAGGATCTAAGACATCTCCAGAGACCCCATGATGGAAAACGCTATCCACATCCAAAGAAAGAACTATGGAAGTTGAATTGCTATTTTTTTTTCCTCTTCTGTTGAATTTTGTTTCCTCTTTCTGATGGCTCCTCCTATTGGTTTTAATTTTTACTTACAATATCACTAATGTGAAAATATGTTTAATAGAAATGTAAATGTATATCCTATATCAGACTGTGCATCATCTTGGGGAGGGTGATGGGCAGGAAAGGGGAGAAAAATTGTAAACTCAAAAGCATATGGAAGTGATTATTGATAAATCAAAATAAATTAATAAAAAAAAAACAAAAAAAAATTCTTTCCCAGTTTTCTGCTTCCTTCCTAATCTTGGATGCAATGACTTTGTGAAAAACTTTTCAATTTAATGTAATTAAAATTATTCATTTTGCATTTCATAATGTTCTCTATCTCTTGTTTGGTCATAAATTCTTCCTTTCTCTATAGATCTGAATAGTAAACTATTCCTCGCTCTTCTAGCTTGCTCATAGTATCAGTCTTTACATCTAAATCCTATACCCATTTTGACTTTATCTTAGTATAGGGTGTTTTTTATTATTTTTTATAAGGGATGGCTCACTGAACAGGTTAAGAATATTATTCAGAAATGAAGATGATTTAAAAATAAAGACATAAGTAAAATAAATACAAAGATAAGCCTTGCACACAGTATGTATTTAATAAGTATTTGTTGGGGGGACAAAGCCAAGATGGCAGAATAAAGGAAGTGACTTGCCTGAACTTTCCCAAATTTCCCTCCCAACAATTTTAAAATAACTCCTCAAAACGAATTCTGAAGTGGCAGAACCAATGATGGGGGACTGATAGAAGGTAGGACAGATTGGAGGAGGCGATGGTCAGAAGCAAAACACTTTTGAGGAAGGACAGGGTGAAAGGAGAGAGAGACAGACAGAGAAACAGAGACAGAGAGAAGGATAAACAAAGGAAAATAGGATAGAGGGAAATACAGTTAAAAATCATAACTGCAAAAAAAAAATTTTATAATAAATTTTCTCATTTGTATCAATGACATTTCTGAAGTAGCTAAGGCAGTAAGCATATAAGTTATTACTACAAACTATTATTTGTAGTTTAACTAGAATGTGAAAACATGCTAAAATATTCTCTATAGATGCATGATAATTACTTAGAAGACAAACTGAAATTAATAACAGTTCAAGCTTCTTTATTTAAAAGCAAAATATAGTTTTTAATTGCAATTGTTTGGCAACCTTTTGCTTCCAGAAATATACAGTTTAAAATTATTAGCAGGTGGACTTCAGAAAGACTTATATGAACCAATGCAGAGTAAAATGAGCAGAACCAGGAAAATACTGTACACAGTAACAGCCACACTGTGTGATGACTGACTCTGATAGACTTAGCTCTTCTCAGCAATGCAAGGATCTAAGATGACTCCAAAAAACTCAAGATGGAAAATGCTGTCCACATCCAGAGAAAGAACTTAGAGGAATCTGAATGCAGATGGAAGCATACTACTTGCTCTCCTTTTCTTTTGTTTTGTTTCATTTCTTCTTTCTCATGGTTCCTCCCATTAGTTCTAATTGTTCTTTACATCATGACTAATGTGAAAATATGTTTAATATGAATGTGTTAGTAGAGCTTATATCAGATTGCATGCTGTTTTGAGGAGGGGAAGAAAATTTAAAATTCAAAATCTTATGGAAGTGAATGCTAAAAACCAAAAATTAATTAATTATATTAAAATATATATACAGTTTAATTGTTCTGACCTTGTCAATATCATCTCTGGCTGCATTAAGTGTACGTGGCCCAATTTTCACTTCATTGAAGACATTTGATTCAGCTACCCACCATCGAAGAATATCTGCACCATAAGGAGGATCTTTGCTTTGATCCTTTTTGTGAGAAATATACAAACAAGCATTACAAACTACACATTTAAAAGTAGGCCCAAAAGCAGTATGTGAGATAGGAACACTTCAGCTCAACGCTAAAGGTTTAGAATAGCAATACAAGTATGTGGAGTTCAATGATCTCAAGTTAAAGAAATTTAGCTTAGGTATAAAAGTCAAATCAGTCCTCTCCACCTTTGTGAAGTGTATACACAATTTCTACCTCATCAATCAGGCATTGCTATTACATATTTAATTAGAACAGACAGGTCCATACAGGCTTATCAGCTGGAAATAATCCTCCTGTGAACAGACCATCTACCTGAGAATTGATTAGAAGGATAGAGGGCATGGCATCAAAAAAAGGTTTTCCAACATTCTCTAGCAATTCTGGACATAATACATTGAATAATGGACACTGGCAGGTCATTGGCAAAGCAGGATAGCAACATATTATTGGTCTGGATAATCTACCTTATAATTAACAAATTGGCTTACTGTAAAGAGACAGAGGTTCTTGATTTAGAAGACTTGAATCAAAATCCCACCTCTGACCGTTACTATCTGTCTGACCTTGGGCAAAGCACTTAACCTCCTTGGACTTAAGTTTCCTCATTTATAAAATTAGGGCATTGGACTAGATAGATGGTCTTTAGGGTCCCTCCCATGTCTCAATCTACTATCCTATGATCTTAAGTTGATCCGTACCATGTGCAAATAAAGCCAGGATATTAGCAACATCAGATTTGTGTCCATTAATCAATAATAATGATAATCAATTCTACAAAGACAAATGCCTATTTTCTAACTACCAAAATAAAGTGAATATTTAAGAGTTTCCATTTTCTGAAGACTTATCTTCTCCTGCCAGCTTTCTATGTGACTACTTAAAAAAGCTGGATGATATTTTGAAATTGTGGCTACTGCTGATTGCTTGTGATTAAATCAGAGAAGCTAGGTAGTGCAATGGCTTGGAGTCATCTTCCTCAGTTCAAATCTGGCCTCAGACACTTACTAGCTGTATGACCCTGGGCAAGTCACTTTACCCTACTTTCCTCAGTTTCCTCCTCTGTCAAATGAACTGGAGAAGGAACTATTCTAATATCTTTGCCCCAAACATCTAAATGGGGTCACTAAAAGTTGGACACAACTGAAAAAAATTGACCGAACAAAATAAAAACCACAACTGTTTACTAAAGAGATAAAAATTTTAAATTAATTCACATGAAACTCTGACATCTGTCTACAAATGAAGTATGACTTAGTCCCTAAATACAAACCCAAATTAGGTCACCTACTGAATATTAGCGTGACCTTAGGTAGAACATACAACTTCCATTTTTTAGTTTCATCGTTTGTAAAATGAGGACAGGAGACAAGATTCCATGGCAGGTGACCCCATATGTAAGCACATATAAAGCATTTTTTAGAAAAAATTTAAGGCGCTAAGTATTAGAACAATCTAAAATCTGTAAAGTAAAAAAAATTTTAAAAATTAAAAAAATAATAATGAAAATGCCAACTGTTTATTATGAGTCACTTACTTGCCCTCCATTGATGATAATATCTGGGCTAATCACATTTCCAAGAGATTTAGACATCTTTTCTCCTTTTTCACTAAGAGTAAAACCATGAACCAAAACAGCCCTGAAAAGGAAAATCAACCATTTTCGTAATGAAGAACATTAGGTGACAAAGCACAAACTACCTTAAAATTGATGAGAGCCCTTTTTGTGGTTATCAACTTCACGAGCTTCTTAAAATAGGTTAGATTAAAAAAAAAAAAAGTCCGCATAGCAAAGTCTATGGTGAAAACATAATTCTAAATGTGATTGTTTGGTTCGTGAGCAAGGGAAAGAATAGAGAATAAGAATTTTTTTTTTTCAATGTGGGAATTTGGAGTGGGGGGGGAATATTACTGTTCTATTAACTTCTGGTAGCATATACAATTGACTACAATTAATTGACTACAGCTAATTATCCCCCCAACATTCTTTCTCCTTTTGGCCATAAGGTCCTAAGAAATTTATTTCCGTTCCTAGTAGTAGACACAGGCACCATTCATTCTGAGTTCTCATTACTATTCAAGAAGAGGAGGAGAAGAGCACTGGAAAGCTTGAGATGACATTAATTATTTTGTTTGGGGCTCATTTGGGGAGATAGCCAAGACAGAATGGACAAAAAACAGAGCTTCAATCCAGTAAGTTATATTGTGACAACATACATTTTTTTCTTCTGGTCTGAACCTGTAATTTTATCAAGGCAGGGAATTCCCAGGGAAGAAATTCCTTTTACCAATGCACATTAACAAATGTTCTGCAACTTCTAGTTTTGAGACTAGAAAGCAACTTCAAATTTTTGAAAACAACTTCAGGGTGATGAAACACTGAAAAATTAAAAATGATCTGCTAAAAGTCATATAGTCAGTATGTCTCAAAGGTGGAAGTTGACCCCAGATCTTCTTGACTCCAGGACCTGCTACTATACCACACTGCCTCTTAATCTCAATCTAATTTTATAAAACTCATATATTTTTATGGTATATTATGGCTTCTAGTTTAATGTTTAAGTGGGACTAGGAGGTTACAATACTGTAGTTAAGTTAAGCTAATTCTAATGCTAACTTCCAGGCTTTATACATCAGTTTGTCAACTGTTTGTGAATATTAGAAGTATAATGGCATTTGAAGCTCAAGATATCCTCTCCCCCTCTGAGTACATCCCATTTTCTCTGCCTATCCGAAGCTTATCCATTCCTCCATCAAAGTTCCTCCCCTCAAATAATGATCCCCCAGAGGACTTATAATCTGTGGCAAAGATAATATACTTTAACTACTGTCTTTTATTTCACATGTATGTCATGCCCCAATGATATCATAAGCTCTCAGAAATCAAGAAGCATGCTAGAATTTTTTGGCATCCTACTCCATTCCTAGCATTGTGCTTGGTCTGTTATAGGGACTCAATAAATGCATGCTGAAATAAACTGAAATATACTGACTAGCTTATTTGTGACGTAGGTACTTACCTATAAGGGCTTTTATTCTTTGCTGCCACACTAGTTAATAAGGAAGAATGAAACCAGCCTCCAAGCTGGTCCTTTCCCTCCAAGTACAAATCTGCTCTTTTGTCTGTAAATTATAGAAACATATAGAAAAAATATATAATTTAGAGTTAATTACAACAGAAAAAGATAATTTTACATCCCAAATCTTGCAGTTATGAAAATCTCATGCCCTCTATTCTTTTTAACATTATGTATAGCTGCTCCAACTTTTAACTGTCCTATTTATTCAGAATATTGGTATGTATTAATCAATAGGCATTTACTAAATACTATGTGAGAGTTATTGCACCAAGCTCCAGAGATATAAAAAGAAAAATAGCCCCTTCCTTCAAACAGCTTGTATTATAATGGGGAAGACATCAAATAAATACAGGATATAGTACATACGTGGTAACCTTAGAGAAAAAGCAATAGCTCCTGAGGCTTAAGAAAGCTAGTGCTCCCCCTCACAGGGAAGGAAGAGGTCAAGAGCCAAAGTGTAGAAGGTTTAGAAGAAAGTGAGAGGAAAGTTTGAGAAAGCACTGAGTATAGGCAACTTTTCAAGGACTTTAGCTAAGAAGGGGAAGAGAGATATGTGACAATAATTATATAAAATGGTAAAATTTAAGAATGACTTGAAAAATTTTTTTAAGACTAGGATATGTTTGTAGACAGCAGAAAGGAAACTAATAAATAGGGAGAGTTTAAAGATTAGAAAGACAGAGCAATAATACCAAGGGCAATCTGTTAGAGATGACAAGAAGGGATGGGATTAAGGGTACATGAAAAGAGGCTATAATACTCCAAACCTAAAATGACTGAAAGAACGCCCAAATTAGGTAATCATAACTGTATTAAAATCTCTACTAAATTATTAAAGTAGGCTATAAGTACAAATTATTCAATAATTTATTAAATGTTTTAATAATGACAATTTGTATATACTTGCACACTCTAAAATTATAAATACATAGATGAAAAAAGTATTTCTGAACTATCAATTATATGATGGGTATGAGCCATGGGGAATCAACATTTGGAAAATGACATTCTTGTTTTTCTGCTAGTCTTGCAGTTTTGCAGGTGCTACTAGAATGTTATGGTCAAAAGAACAAAATACAAGTGAGGGTGGGGCAGGTGGGGAAGAGGCATAGAAGGATGACACTAATTAATTTACCCCTGAATATCTAGGAAGCAATAGCAAGAGTTTGGATGTTTATTTAGTATTTCTGGTTGGACAATTCTCAGAAGCAAGTGAATGGTTATTTCATCAATGTCCCTGAAATGTATTCATTAAGAGCATACAATAATGACTACTCATCATATTCTAATCCAATATGTCAATTGACTATCCCACAAGTCTTTTCTTCTCAGACTAAACATCCCCTGGTTTCATCAGGTGATCCTTTTATTAAATGGTTTTTGGTTGCTTGGCAATCCTGTTCACTTTTCTTTGGACATGTTCCCACTTTGTCAAGATCCACCCCCCCTTTTTTTAATTTTTAAAATATCCCTTCTTAAATGATCTGACCAACACATAAGATTGTATCTTTCTTCTTACTTGACACTATGCTTCTTTTAATGCAGTCTAAGACTGAATTACTTTTTTTGGCTGCTACATTGCACTACTTAGGAGTATTAAAATTTCAATCCACTAAAATCCCCAGATTTTACATAGCAGATACCCCCCTACCTATTTATCTAGTAATCTTGTAGAAACAAAAAAGCAATGAAGGTAGTCTGGCATGACTCATTCATAAAGAACCTATGATGTCACATAGTGATTACAACTTTCCTTTTTCAAAATGGTGATCAACCATCCTCTTAATTCATTCTAGAATTCTGCCATGACCTCACTGATCTAAAGCATCCACCTTTTTTTTCCAACATTTCCACTTACCAAATAATCCTTTCCCATTAGTCAAAATCAGGTCCAGGCTAGAAGTATGTCTCTCTCCCCTGCCCCCCACTGGTTTGCAGATTTCTACACAGATTTATCTTGTCCTATTTTTCCTTCTACCTAATTTGATCTTCTTGAATAAGGTGTATATTCTCATTGCCACAGTTAGTCATCAGTTTCAATGGACTAATAAGTCTTAATAAGCAAATTCAAAGATACAACTTCTAAATAAAGTAAACTGTATTATCAGGGACATATATGCTAGAAAAGGAAATGGGCTGATCTTGTATAGAGAAAAAGAAAATAGATAGTCCAAGGTGGGCATTGGTACCCCTATGTTAAAAAAATGAGGCCTCCAGTACATTGGGTAGATCCTCTACAGAAGATTTATGGGGGAATTATGATTGAAAAAATACACCAGATAAGTAGGTTTAAAGGGGTTACATCATCTGTCAGTAGCTGGCATTTGTTATCATGGACCTTTCAAAGTGTCAAATTAAAATACCATTAGGAATCTGCATGATTAGGGGCAGCTAGGTGGTGCAGTGGCTAGAGCTCTGACCTTGGAGTCAGAACAATCTGAGTTCAAATCTGACCTCAGACCCTTGACACCAGCTGTGTGACCCTGGGCAAGTTACTTAACCCTGAATGCCTCACCAAAAAGCCAAAAAAAAAAAAATGCATAATTGGACAGAGTTTCCACATTTATGAGAGATAGCTGTTAAACCTTAACTTTTACTTCAAGTCTTCCTGTTCTCTTTATGGAATCAGAAAATAAGTAAGGAGTTCTTTGTGTTAGTTTTAAAATAAAAACAAAATTAATTAGGATTAGTACAAACATGCCTTTACAAATTCTTTAAGAACGTTCTAGGTATGAGTGAATTTGTTATTTAAAGAATGATTTTAAAACAGAATTTCTTTAAATTTCTCAAATGTTGACTTTTTTTTAGATTCCACTGACTCTAATCTCTTAATGAAATAGGTGTCTGACCTAATGCCAAGTCTGTAAAACAAATCTCTCTTTGCTGTAAATCATGTCAGGACAAAAGTGAAAACAGGTATGCAGGCTATAAGATAATCAGATTCATCTAATTAATATCAGTAATCACTATTGAAGGCTATTTGTGCTAAAAATAGAGATCACTTTCTTTTGCAAAAAAGAAACTTTAGTAGAATCACTGATCTGGTAAACAGACCTTAAATCAATTAATACTAGAGACTCAAACTACTTGAGATCATGCAGCATTTTAATTATACAAAAATATGGTACAAATGGGTAATAAGTAATATCACTAGATTCAGAAAAACTTAATACTTCAGTTGTCACTGAATTTTCTTATGCTACATCTATGTATACTAAAATAACTATTAAAATACTCAAAACACTTTAAAAAATTCCAAGCATTAAGTAAAATCAAGCTTTCTTCTCTTTTTTCCCCTTCCCTTAAAACACACACATAACAAGCTAGATATGATTTCTCTTTCATCTGATCTCATCACATTTCATGCTCCTTGTATGAACCCGAACAATCAAATTAGAACATTATCTATGTACATCTTATTTTTTTCTACTATAAATTACTAGAGGCAGAGCCTGTTTCTTTTTATTTATCCCAGGATCTATACATTGTATTCTTTCATGGAATCAAGTTGTAAGGATTTCCTCTATTTGTGCAGATCATAAGCCAACCATGCCTTCCCATCCTGTGGTATCTATCCTTGACTATGTTTTCCCATAAGTTCTCAACAGAAGACTCACCCAACACCAAAAAGCTATCCTCTCAATCTTTTTTAATATTGTTAGGAGTTGGGCTATGCATCACTTGCTCCCAATGCCTAAACACTTTCTACCACTGCCTTTTCCAGTTATATATTTCTTAATGTCTTTACAATTACATATTTCCTTCTTACATAGAAGTCATCACTGATGTGCTCAAGAAAACGTGTAATAAAAAGGTAAATGAAAGGATAAGATAAAATACAAATTACTCAATTTATTTCTTGTTGGCAAGCTTTATTAAAGTTCTTATTTTCTACCGGAAGGAAAGATCTAAAGTTAGTAGGCAGATACTATGGATTAAAATTCCTTTTTTATGTTATTTGTAAATTTCACTGACCATTGCTGACTGCCTTCTACTTCATTAAAAGAAAAATCAAAAGTTTACTGTATCAATTATGTATATTTACATAATGTTTCTCTTATTATGATATACCTACATATGAGAATCAAATCTCTTAATTTTCTTGTTTGGAAATATATTCACAGACAGAATTTCATTTAATGAATTTTTCTACTTCTTGAATCCTCTAAATATTAGGTTAAGAGTGGGCATAATTATTCTACAAGTACTTATAGAAGCAGCAATGACTGAACTTCATCTATTAGCAAAGTAAAGTAATTAAGAATATTAGTGACACAGCTTTCATCTCATTTCAAACCAATCAAGAGCCCTGATTTTAACTTACATGTACTATCCTTAGTAAGGACTTTAGTTATGTGTGACTGTTTAAGAAATCACTTAATAATGGTATTAACAGAAGTAATTCTCAGGAAGGCTGAAGTAGTCACTGAGCTTCTGAAATAGTATTAATAACTACTATTTCACATCAGGTACACTTTTTTGAATGTTAAGTATACCTTCCCATGAATGGCTACAAGAAACCCTTCTTCATGCTGAGGCTTAAATTGTGCAATTCTATTTGTCTGCATTTTCAAGATAATTTGGGAAAATGTGAGTGCCTCTTTGAACATTTAATATTTTTCTAAATCATACTAGCAAAGGCCTCTTAAAACAATGATTCTGGAAACAAAGGTACTATGTGAAAATATTAGATAGCAAGGTTTAAATTCTGACATTGCTTATCAGTGACATTTCTGGGGAAAAAAAACTAAACAGTTTAAATTTTCTGGAAAAAACTAAAATCTTTAAGTGTAACCACTCAGAATCACTATTTATTTAGGCTCTTTCCCTCACGTAAATCCAATTTACTTGCAAGTCATAGCATCACCTTCCTGATGTCATTGTACTCTTCAAGAACAGAGGACAAATAACCACTTTTCCTTGTCTTTTCATGCTTAGTTACCTTAGGAAAACACACCCTCCCCTTTATTTGTCTAATAACTAACTAAGCACAGAATAGTATTAAGTTATATACTTGTATTTGTAGTTTAAAAAAAAAAAGGAAAAGAAAGTTGTGAAGTATAGAGAAATCATGGTCCACAGGAGACCTGTATTATATATAATCTAGGTACTGCTATAGACTAGCTCTATAAATATGTTACTTAACCTCCATCAGTATAATACTGCTAACAGGTAAAAATCAGGGATTATATTACAACTCTAAGACATTCTAATTTTTAAAAATAGGAAATTCATTATAGGTTTTGAGTTTGTCCACATTTTTTGAATCTCAAACCTTTCAATGATGGCATAATATATAACATTCTCTCTATTTAATACCTGGAAGAACACAATTCCATGAAGTTCCACTTTCAAACCAGATATCCAAGATATCCTGACCTGGCACAAATTCCAATGTATCAGGACCACCAAGCTAATGAGATATAAGCAAAAAAAGCATTTTAATTTTACAAAAACACAGTACAAATAAGTAATAGGTAATATCACTAAATTCAGAAAAACTTAATACTTCAGTTGTCACTGAATTTTCTTATGCTAGATCTATGTATACTAAAATAACTATTAAAACACTCAAAGCACTTACAAAAAATTCCAGGCATTAAATAAAATCAAGCTTTCCTTTCTTTTTTTTTTCCTTCTCTTGTAACACATACATAAGCTGGATATGATTTCTTTCATTTGATCTCATAACATTTCATGCTTCTCATATAGACCTGAATAATCAAATTAGAACATTATCTATGTACATCTTATTTTTTTCTACTATAAATTATTAGAGGTAGAGCCTGTTTCTTTTTATTTATCCCAGGATCTATACATTGTATTCTTTGATGGAATCAAGTTATAAGGTTGCCTTCTATTTGTGTAAATCACAAGTCAACCATGCCTTCCCATCCTGTGGTATCTATCCTTGCCCATGCCTTTCCATAACTTCTCAATAGAAGACCAACCCAATACCAGGGAGGCTATCCTCTAAATCTTCTTCGTTAGGAGTTGAGCTATCCATCACTTGTTCTCAATACCTAAACACTTCCTACCACTTCCTTTTCCAATTATATATTTCTTTAAAGTCTTTACAATTAGGTATTTCCTTCTTACACAGAAGTCATAACTGGTTCTGTGCTTCAGCCTACTTATACCTAGTATATGTCTTCTCCATTGTCCTTTAGGCTACCTGCTTTACTAGTGGTATCTATTTAAAAAAAAAAAAATCTTATGTCAGAGAGGGGCTTGGGATTATAAAGTCATTGATTTAAGGATTGGAAGAGACTTTAGAAATCCTAAGCCTCAAACCCTTCAACTTACAGCCAACAAATGAGTTCTTTCAAATTTTTCTCTTTGTGTCTCAAGTCTTACAGTACATGTTTAAATCAGACATGCACCAAGTTAACCTATCAGCGTATATATCTTAATTGTTGCAGACAGATGATGAGCTAGTCTCAGAACTGAAGAGGTGGACAGCAGCCTGGATTGTTTGGGAGAGTACTTTCAAAGATCTGAAGCACTGCATATAATAAGTACTAAATAAATATTTAAATGACTGTAATTTCTATAGCCATTAGATAAATATTCATAATCTCAGCTCATGTCTGGGCATTATTATTTCACTAAAAATAAATACTTTCCCATATTTCAGAGAAGCTAATACAAACAATTATGTACTTCCAATTAATTCTTATTTGAATCCAGCAAAGTTCAAGTGTTATTTCCACTAACTCTGAGCAACTTCCAACATAAATAAAAGTATTTGTGATACACTACAGTTTAAAATTGAACTTCAGGTCATTAATATCAGCAGAAATGTATACACAGCCTTCATTTATAAAGCACTTTTTTCATCACAACCTTGAGAGTAGGTCATGCAAGTATTATTATTCCTATTTTGCAAATAAGAAAACTGAGGCTCAAGAGTGAAACAACTTGCCGAGTAGCAGAGTGCTAGAAACCTTGAGATTTGGGACTTGAATATGTCTTTTTGACTCCAAAGCCAATGCTTTTCTCACTATATCTCACTGCCTTAATACAGTGACACTGTACAAACCACTATATTAAATTCTATCCTGTTCCAGGCATACAGACCCTATCTTAGGTCTAGATTATGTTTTTCTTATATTTTTATATTTTATTAACTATATTAAGCACATTTTAAAAACTACATTATAAAATAATTACTAAGCTTAAAAAAAAAATCACCCCCAAGATCTTTTGTATTCAACATTTGCAATTATAAATTTACTTGAGCTAAGACTTTTTGAGGAAGAAGCTGCTCAGGAGGAAGAGTCCACCAGATATCACTTCCATGTTTTTCCACTAGTTGAACAAGATGCTCGATAGTTTGGCTGTTGAAGGAAAAAAAACAATCAGAGCCAGTGAAGTAACTACTGTAGCTAAGGTATAAAGCAATAATAACAAAAAGAAATGATACAAAAAATGCCTTATTTCCAACCCCAAACTGACCTCTCCAGTTATGCAGCTACAACTATAGGCTACTAGACACTAGTTTACTTCAAACACATTTCAGAAACAAACCTATTATTCAATCTTTTCCACAAAACTAAATTTATCCTCCAAAATTTTCTTATTTTTAAAGGAATTATCATTCTATCAATTAAAAGGTTAAAAACGTTTTAGTCACCTCTAATGAAATGAACCAAAAGCATTTAATACTTAACATGTGCCACATGGAAAGGATAGAAATACAAAAGTGAGAGCTCCTATCTTCAGGGATTTGTATACTAGAAGTGGGAGGCTATATATATAGAAGAGTAGGGGCTGTAAATAGGGTGTTTGAGTCTACTAAAGCATAAGGATAATAAATGGAGCTAAAGGGAAACAAAATGACACACCCTTTCAAGAAGCAGTGGTACAAAGGCCATTCTCCAATAAATGGGTATGAATAGTTTTCAAAAGAATAAGAGCAAATTACTAACAACCACATAAACAAATGCTCCAAATCATTAATAAGAGAGACACAAATGAAAACAGCCCTAACGTTTCATCTTCTACACTGCAAATTGGCAAAGGTAACAAAAGATAGATTAATCAATAATGGAGGGTTTGAAGGAAGACAGGCACAATAGTGCTATGCTGGTGAAGCTGTGAACCAGCACCACCACCATGAAAAGCACTTTGGAATTATACAAATAAAAGTGATTAAAATATCCATACCTTTTGACCCAGAGATTCTATTTTTTCGATTATACCCCAAGGAGGGCACTGATAAGTACCTATATATATGCACCAAAATATTTATAGTAGTACTCTTTATGATAGCAAAGAATTGGAAATCAAGTAGATGCTCACTGAATGCAGAATAGCTAAACAAATTGCAGTACACTAGGAGCAGCTAGGTGGCGCGGTCCTGAAGTCAGGAGGACCTGAGTTCAAATCCAGCCTCAGACCAAACACTTGACACTTACTAGCTGTGTGACCCTGGGCAAGTCACTTAACCCCAATTGCCTTAAAAACAACAACAACAACAACAACAAATAAAACAAATTGCAGCACACAAATGTAATGGAATATAACTGTGCTATAAGAAATGATGAAATGTGATGTATAGGATAAGATCCACATGAACTGATGTAGAGTGAAGCAGAACTAAGAAAACAATATGCATGTAAATGAAAAGAACCACTACTCCCACCCCCCCAAAAAAGTGAATGCTGCAAAATTATAAAGAACAAGTCTGGCTCAAAAGAAGAGATTATGACAAAACACTCCCACCTCACCCCTTTGCAGAGGTTAGGGATCCACAAGTTTTGTACATTATACATATGTTCAGACTTTTTTGATCAGTTATGCTGACTTTTCCCTCTCCTTTTTCTTTTGATTACTAAAAAATATTATTTGTTATATGAGATAGCTCTCTGGGTTGGGGAGGGGAAACGACACTGGGGGAAATTAGGTGATGTAAAAAAAAAAAGACGTCACTATAAATGTTAAAAAAAAGAGCAATGGATCTATTAGTTAAGTTCCTAGAAAAAATGGTTCAAAGTAGAAGGGGATATATATGTGTGCTGATGTAAGAAAATGGTCAGGGACAGCTGGTTGGGGATATGAAACAAGGAATAATGGTCTGGAGACAGCTAACTGTCAAGATTATTGCCTGGAACAATATAAAAGCCTCCAAACCATCTTCCTGCCTACATTCACTACATACTCTCACCAAACAAAACTGACATATTTCTCTTCCTAAAATACTACTTTCATCAAGTCACCTTCCTGTTAAAAACCAACTAGATTAATATTCAGGTATTCAAGGTCTCCTATCTGGCCCCAACCCATTTTTCTATTCTTAATTCCCAATACTCTCTAAAGGTCAATCTCCTAATCTTGCCAAACTGATCCATTCATTGTCCCTCAAATAAACTAACTTGATTCATACTTTCCCCCTACTGCTCGCTCAATTCCTCCTGCCCCACTCCATCCAAGAAATGCCTCCCACTTCTTTGACCTAACCCTGCATATTCAAGGCCCACCTCAATTCTTACCTCCTCCATAAGCTCTTCCTGGCCCCTCCAACTCTGTCATCTCCTCTTTCTAATAGCTTAATTGCGCATACTACTTAATTTACATTTAATCATATGTGCAGTGGATTCTGTGCTGAGCCTGGAGTCAGGAAGACCTGAGTTGAAATCCTGTCTCAAACACTTACTAGCTCTGTGACCCTAAGCAAGTCACTGAACCTGTCTTATCTTCAGTTTCCTTATCTTTTAAATGAATAGTGCTCTTTGACCAACACACAAGTAAAAAGACCATTCTAAGAAACCAAACTGACAAAATAGCCTAGAAAATGCTAACATCCCTCTGAAGGTCTGGACAGTTAACTGTGAAGGGCCCCAGAGGAATCAAGTAAAGGTATTTCCACCAATACCAATATTAAACTCGATTTCCTTACAAAGAAGAAAAAAAAAGGCTCATGAATGACAAGTAGCAAGGAAATTGAAAAGAATTTGCAACAGTTTGCACAATTTGTAATTGTGCAAAACATGACCAGAAGAGTTGCCCTGAGTTTGGGGGTCAAGGTGACATCCTTGCATGTACTCAAGAAAATGACTCATCTGTTGAAATTAGAAAATTCTTGGATGAAAAATAGATCCAAAGAGTGCTCATGAGACCAGATGTTGCTCATGCCATTCCTCAAGTCCAAAAAGATGAGTTAAGTCTTGAAGGAAATGAAGTCAAACTTGTATCAAATTCAGTCACCTTGATGCACCAGGCAAGAAAAAGAGACAAACAAATAAATAAAGGAAAATTTCTGGATGGTATCTATGCCTCTGAAAAAGGCCCAGTGCCCTAGGCTGGCTACCAGGTCTGAAAACTATCCCTGGTCCTGATGGGAGCCTCCTATGTTCCCCATGCTGACTAAGATGTTAAAATACATTTGGTCCTTTGGAGACTAGTGCCTTTTAATCTGATAAATGATAGAAGTTTACTTAAGATTCTGTTGAATTAAATATTATGTCCAGTGGTACAGAGTTAGGCAGCTGATCTCAGGCTATTGGAGACCCAGCCAAATTCTGGAGACTTTTTCACTAAGCTGGAAAGGCTGTGACTATGACCTTTTAAAGAGTATAATTAAGTTCAGAAAGCCTTCCTAACAAAAGGTTTATCATCTATTTCTTCAATGTAAAAAATAGTTTTGTTGATGTTATTGTTAAGTCATTTCATTCATGTCCGATTCTTCATGACCCCTTTTGGGGTTTTCCTGGCAAAAAGAATGGGAGTGGTTTGCCATTTCTTTCTCCAGCTCTCATACTAATCACTAATATATTTTTGTCTCAAGGAATTTAACTGGATGCATGTGAACACAAGAAAGTCAGATCTAATATTTTTATACCACCAAGCTATCCTTCAAGAATGTCTAGCCTGTCATGTTGCACCTGGACTAACTTCTAAAAAAGCACATTGCTCCCTGCACCTGAGCCCTATAACCAGTCATGCTGCCCTCAATCCTATTATGTCATCTACCCTGTTCTGTTCTTTGTTCTGCACTACTCAAAACTTATATAAGGGGAACTGTTCTTTTGCTTGGGGTCTTTGGCATAAATGAAGGCAAGCCATTGCTCATTTATTAACTGGCAACATGCCGCTGTTAATAAATGTTATCTCGCTCAGAAGTGCCTCAGTTTACCCTTTTGTGAAATTTAATCTGCAACATCTTTAAGCTTGGCGCTACAGAAGAAACCTATTCCTCATTTTAAATTAACCTGATATTTTGATACCTATCTACCATATTCCAGATGTGGCACTAATCTAAGACTGAGAATTCTTTCACATAATTAAAATTCACAATACATTTCAGATACCCAAATCAGAAATGAAAAAAAAAACTTATCCAAACACATATACTCTCAGTCCACTGTAATAAATACCAAATGACAGAAAGTGAATTATATTAGGTTTGACATTAGGGTAACTGGTTAACGCTACCTAGTTCAGTCAATTGCATCTTTATTCTACCTTTCTCACGCAGCATATTTTTTAAACAATTTTATTTACTAAAATTTAAAAACATATGCTTTATGATATATGCAACACAGAAAATGGAAATAACTACTAACTTTACACATACATAACTGATAACACTAAAACAAAGACTAGTTAAAGGTAACAGAAAAGTCTAAAAATTCATAATTCCTAAATCATATCTTTTCTATCTTTGAAGTTCAGTCATCACAGATTTTGGTCAATTAATTATTTCCTTTATTTCTTTTGTTCCAGGTTTTTCTCTAATGACTACCTCTTAATGCTACCTATTTCAGTTAACTACACTTTTACTCCATCTTCCTTATGCAAAACACTAAAATAAGTAGTCTGGAGGAGTATCTAGAAATATATAATTACTCAATAATAGCAGACAGTTAATAAATGTTTGTTAAATTATAATAATTAAAGTGAACTATTAGTAGAGTAGGAAAAGTGGTGGATTTAAAGTCAGAGAACCTGGATTCAAATCCCAGCTCTGCTACTTTTTATATATGAGATAGGAATTTAATTTGTTTCAGTTTCTTTATCTCTAAATTCTTTAGGCCTTTTAGTTCTAAACCAGCAATCCTGTCAGGAGTATTTTACATAAACTATTTTTGGAGGGTAAAAAAGGCTTTTCCTTTGCTTCTTCCCCTCTCCATTACCCCTCCCCCCTAGTTCATTTAAAACATACTCTAAAAATAAACACAGTGGTACATTTTTCCTTAAGAAAATTTTACTTGAAGAAAACAAGTTGGTGTCAATGAAGAGAAGACAAAGATTATCAAGAAAACGGCTTGTAAATTTTGTTACTACATGTGTATAATCTGGGTGAAAAAAACAATAAAATATTTACATATTTACTAAT